GACAGACCACCAAAGAATTAGATAACGTATAGTCTAGTTTGGCTCTCATTAGGTCTTAATAAATTTAGATCAGCATATGTGAATGTTAAGCAAATAAATTGTGGTTTAGAGCACAGAAGCCCAAATGTTCCTTCGGTGCAAAGATCCCAGCAATAATATGGCTTCAAAATCTACTTCTGTTTACATAAAATCTGCCCCATAATAACATGCGGAGACTACTTTTTTTAGGAAGATATATAGCAATCATGAACAGAAGGGATTAAGAAACATACTGTCATTTATTACAGCTACTGTATCCATAACTGCATGGAACATCAAGTAAGTATATTATAGGAATGCTTAATTATTTCAAACATGGATTTAGATGAAAGGAATCCATCAACATAACTTTTAAATAGCCAGATGGTCAATGCATACCCATGTTTATAATTTCTGTTTGTTGCAGCCTTCCCTGAATTAATATTACCCATCTGATATTTTTAAAGGAATCTGATTGTCCATCTAGCAGCTGGCTACATTAAAAGTGTTACGTTTATATAGCTTTAAGGCAGTAGACTTTTTGTACTTGACATAATAGAACATTGCCTTGTGGCTGTGAGTGTAACAGGCCCTTTTCAAAACTTAGCAGTTCTTCTGTATCACTCAGCTTGCTTGGTCATGAGGAGATTTTGCTAGTATTCCTGAAGGATATTTGTCGAGTGATGGGCTTCTCATTTCTGAGTTATCTCTCTCAAGTGAAGGAATACTGTCTGCTGAAAATCTATGGATTATGTGAATTACCTTGGGCAAATGCTTTGCAAAACGTTGTGACAGAATTCAGAAAACTATTTCATTCAGTTAATATTATTTTTTAAATCCCCCAAAATATATTTAGATTCTATTTATGGCAAGAAAAAGAAATTAATTATTCTGTCGTATATTGTAGCTTTTGATGAAAGTTGGCAAGAGATTAGTGTAGTCTCTGGAGATGGCTTATTATTTTCAATTATTTAAGAACACATAGGAAGACAGCCTTACAATCCAATATACCAGAAATAAATGTAAACTTGGAGGGGGAGAAGACCCCCAGTACAATCCTAATCAGTCTAGTCAGAAGTAAAGGTAAAGGTACCCCTGCCCGTACAGGCCAGTCTTGACAGACTCTAGGGTTGTGCGCCCATCTCACTCAAGAGGCCGGGGGCCAGCGCTGTCCGGAGACACTTCCGGGTCACGTGGCCAGCGTGACATCGCTGCTCTGGCGAGCCAGAGCCGCACACGGAAACGCCGTTTACCTTCCCGCTAGTAAGCGGTCCCTATTTATCTACTTGCACCCGGAGGTGCTTTCGAACTGCTAGGTTGGCAGGCGCTGGGACCGAGCAACGGGAGCGCACCCCGCTGCGGGGATTCGAACCGCCGACCTTTCGATCGGCAAGCCCTAGGCGCTGAGGCTTTTACCCACAGCGCCACCCGCGCCCCAGTCAGAAGTAAGCACTACTGAATTTAATGGAACTGGCTCTTTAAGGTAAGTGTGCAGAAGTACAGACTTAACTGGATGGGAAAAATAAATACAAATGTGTATGACTGACTACTCTTTCAGAGGAGGAAGTTCATCCTCCAATCCATGGAGACTGACATGGTTTCTCTCTCTCTCTCTCTCTCTCTCTCTCTCTCTCTCTCTCAAACATAATGACTGAAGAGAGCTAGAATGTCTGCCTGTCTTCACCCTAAACCGAAGTTTAGAATGAGAGGCCCATATATTAATAAACTATTAGCATTATTGGTCATACCTTTTTCTTAAGACCATAACTTTTGTCTTGCATTTCAGCCTGGCTGAGAGGTAGACCAGAAGACGGGCACTGGAGATGGGGCACCATAAAGCCGTAGTGCACTAACCTTCAGTGGAAAGCATTATGTATTATGTATTCAGCGTTTTTCCAAGCTCCAGGCTCTCATGCCACAGAAAGCCACTTTTCAGACTTGGTGGTTTGAGCATCTTATCTTCGATCCTGTGGGTTTGTGTATTGCTTTTTAGAGTTCAGCTGTACTAATAAAAACATATGCATACTCCAAAGGTACATTGTTTCTGTTGTCATGCCTTCTCTCCCAGAATCTTGAAAATTGCAGTTTTGTGAGGCGCTGAGAATGGGAAGTTGATAGTCCTCTCCTTAAAGAACCACAGTTCCTAGGGCTCCTTAAGGTAAGGAAATTAGTATTACTATTAGATCGTTTTAAGTCTAGGAGTGGGGAACTGTTGGCCCTCCAATTGTTGTTGGACTCCAACTTCCACTGGCCCCTGTCAGTATGACCAATGATCAAGGATGATGGGAATTGTAGTCCATCACCACCTGGAAGGCCACAGGTTCCACATCTGTAGTCTAGATGTGGTTTTGCCATCACTTGTTTCTGGTGGTGTTTTTGTTTTAACTGTTTTAAGTCGTCTGTGCTGTTTGCTTGATTTTGAGAGACACAAAGGAGTTTGAAATAAGACATATTCAAGAATTTGATACTGGTCTCGTTCTAAAAGTGGAATGGCTTTCTTTTAATATTATAAAAATACACATGAACTCTCTCTCACTCTTGTAGTGGATTTCATCCTTTGGGGTGACAGAGGGAGGGTAGGCACAAGAACATATATATTGGATGAAAGAGAATCTGACCATTTAACATACACGCTTTCCTATAATCCCTTCCTGCTCCAGTCATTTATATTTGCTCTTGCTGGAAAGGAAGAAAGGGGAGCAAAGCAGCTGTGTACTAGAGGCAGGTCATGGGTCTCTAATCTTCTATTTGCTACATATAAGATTAAAGATCTGCTTTGAGTTTTGATTAAGAATTCAAAGTTAAGAGATTAAATACCCGCAAGCCAAATTAAAGAGGTTTAAATCCAATCTCAGAATTCATCAACCTACCAAAATTTTAAGCTGTCATTACAACATAGGATTGTGCAAAGCTCTCCTGAATCTTGATTTGATGTCCTTTAGTCCTCGCTATTTCTTTCTCTTTACACTGTGAGAAAGCTATTGCTGTGCTTTAGAGTTCATTTCACCTAGAATCTACTAGTTAAATATCCACTGTGTCTTTTGTGATCCGCCACCTAAATAGCCACAACCACAGCATAACATTCTACATTGTGTCTTGTCCCTAACTATATTAGAATTTTGCTCTTTTAGGGAATAAGAGAAAGCCTTCCTTATAATTCACCTTGTTCTGCAATATGTCCCTTCTATATCCTCACTTGCCTTGATTATTGAAAAAGATACGTCGAGTTATAAGAAAAGGGGGAATGCAGTAAATAAAATGGCTGATTAATTTTGTGATTAAAGACTGTAAGTAATGCACATTCCTGATGATAATCAGGAAATATTTCAGATAAACTTAACAAAGATAAATTATTTCTAAAATGGGTAAAGATTAATCTCTGAATCCTTCTACCCCAAATCTCCCCAAAGAAATTATGCAATGATCTATATTCAGGAACTTTAAGAATTCTATTTTTGGTTGGGTTTCAGTCACAAAGCAGCAAATTCAGGCTGTGCTATTAAAGTTGATTTGGAAGTCTTGCACAACATACTCACCTCCCCTGCAAATCAGACTTGTTGCCATAAGGAGAATGCAAACAAATCGGAAAGAATGCTCAATGGAGCCATCTAACTTTCCCACAAACTTTGTGCAAATAAATCAGGATTAATGCTCAATATCTAGGCTGTCTGTAAATTACCTAAATCAGGGCAACCCAACTTTTCATACCGAGTGCACCGGAAGAATATATTTTGGCATGTTAGCGGCAGGCTGCACATTGCCTTGTTGCACGGGTGAGGGGAGGCGAGGCCAATATTTTATGCCCCCCCCCTCCAGCCCTCTCGCTGCCTTCCCACAGCCAGATGAGCTGAGAGGCTCTGGCAGGGTCTTAGAGTTCCCTGATCTCCTTCCCAAAGCCCAGCAAAGCCCAGCGTCTCGCTTACCTGGCTTTGGGATGGCAACGTGAGGGCTGGGGAGGGGATGTCAAATGTTGTCAAGGGCTGCCCCAAAAGCCCTTGAGGACCACGTGTTGGACAGTCCTGACCTAAACTACAGTGGTACCTTGGGTTAAGAACTTAATTCGTTCTGGAGGTCCATTCTTAACCTGAAACTGTTCTTAACCTGAGGTACCACTTTAGCTAATGGGGCCTCCTGCTGCCGCTGCACCACAGCCATGCGATTTCTGTTCTCATCCTGAACCAAAGTTCTTCTTAACCCGAGGTACTATTTCTGGGTTAGCGGAGTCTGTAACCTGAAGCGTCTGTAACCCGAGGTACCAATGCTTGCATTTTTTCTTATTGTAATGTTTTGGGTCTTTTCCATTTGGGTACTGTTCTGTTTTTAAAGTATATGGTAAGTTCTTGCAATTAAAATAAGAATATTTTACTGGCTATGACTGTAACCACTTGTATGTATTGCACTGGAGATTACCTCTACTCAAAATGATTCCCAGAATACTGTGTTGTGTGTAAAATGACCCATGGAGAAAAACTCCATATAAACCTGGGATTGCAGGGAAATTAGTAGAATAAGAAGAATGCTACTTGGCTAATTTTCATAACACTGTATGAATGCACACAATAAAATGCAAATACTCTACTGTTTTGTTGAAAACATCAGATTAATATTAAGGATGTGTCAGGTGAGCTCTAAAACAAGGCAATTAAGTTATTTGTCAGAGTTTCCCCCCAGTTAATTTACATAGTTAAATGCAACACTAGTCTTTATGGCACAATGTTTCTCTTTGTTTTATATTAGCATAAATAAAAGTGAATTATGTTATTTCCTTGTGAAGCTGTACTGTATAAACAGTAGTTTAAATTGCATCCTGGATGGTAAAGCACTGTAAAAGCCTGACTAACCACACTTAGGCCTCAGTAACCCCTCTAATAGCAAAGTTAAATGCTAGCCTGTGGATATAAAGGGTGTCTTTCCAGGCAACCAAGAAAGAACAAAAGAAAGTCTCTGCGGACGGTAACGTATCCTTGCAGGAAAATAGTGTGTGGGACTCAAAACAAGCTCCCTGACAAATCCCCCAAATGTTCCTTGGCCACAAGCTGTTCCTATGTGCATGGGTTAGCTGCGAGGGAATATCCCCAGTAGCTGAAGGCAGCATACATATGCTAGCCCTTGGCCTGAGAGGGTCGGGGAGACTGTCCATATGGCAGAAATGCCTTAGCTGAGTGGAAAGCTTGCTTTACTTCTTCGTCAACACAAAGAGCTGCCAGCTGACAGGACTCTGGGTCCTCCTGTCTGCCACTGTAAAATTATATGCTTCATGCTTGCCCCCCTTTGCTGCCAAAAGGATTGCAAGGAGAGCAGAAACAGGCAGGGCATTTTTTTTAAAATAAGCATATAACATGTGAGGGAAATCCCATGCAGACCACATGAATGGTGCCCTTTTCATTCTTCCTGGCCCGGGTTTGCATTTGGGGAAAACACTGAACATGCTAGATGCTGTTTTGTGTTTTCCTCCAGACAATGTGATCTAGCACTGGACATCCTTCTTTTAAGCCTATGTAACCAACATGAGTTGTTTAGCTTATTTTGTAGTTGTTGATATGTTAACAGTGCTTTATAGATTGCAATTGTTTTGCTGACGATTTGTTAATTATTCTGTATGATTTATGCAGGGTTTGTGATGTCCTATCATGTTATTGTTATTTATTGTTTGTAAGTCACTTTGGGGTTCATTTGAAAGAAATGTGGCACTGAAACAGAAGAAATCAATCAAATAGTAAAGAAGTGGCTTAATTAGGCCTGTTACTTTAAGGAGCTCCAAGGCTTTTAAGAGCAGGTGTGTAAATTGGGGTGGGGAGAGAGAGAAAGCAACCCAAGGCTTTGGAAGCCATTTTGATTAAGAGCTGCTGAAGAGCTGAAGAAGGATTTCAGGGCAGGCCTGGCCTACCTTGTTTTAAAGGGTGAGCCCTATTTGCCTAGTTATTATCTTGGGGGGGGGGAGGTCTTTCAAATCCACATGGCGGGAACAGCAAAATAGATTTGTGACTGTTTTCAAATTTATTCTAGAATATGCTAGAACCCTGAGTCAGGAACTCCCATTTCCCAGCAGGGCAGCTCTGCAGGGACCAACCCCTTTCCCCAGCAATCCTGCTTTTTTGGGTTAGGAAGGTTGGGGAAGCAAAAGGATATTCAAAGTTCTGAGTTGGAAGAAGACTTTGGCTTGGGAAAGTCTGCTGCTATTTGTTAGAGCTTTATCTAGTTAAGAGCTGAAACTGAAGGAAGTTTGAACCATTCATCCCAGGAAGACTTGCTACTTTTTGTATATTCCAAGTGTAGGTGATAGGAGGCTGTGGGGTTTTTTTGTGGGGTGTGTGTGTTGGTGTGTGTGTGAAATATAGCACAGTACTTGCTTATTATCCTGGACTAAACAACAACAAATTTCTTATACCCTGCCCATCTGACCAGCCACTGTGGGTAAGCATGGCTTCCCTGTTGGCAAGTAGTGCCTTATGTTTTAGTCTCCTGCAGATGGATCTGAGGGAAAGTTTTTTGGGGTTTTGTTTTTTTTAATCGAAACTGCATAATCCATTCAAACTCCAGTTCCCCAACCACGACTGACTGGTAGGGGAAGTTCATTTCAGGGCCCTGGTGGAACCTAGTGCAAGGCAAGGTCTGCTGTCTGAGATCTTCTATCTGCACAGTCACAGAATTTATGAAGGCAGGATCAGTGCTGTGTGCCCGAGTCTTTAAAGAGAAAGGTGGCATATTTGCAGATGAACCAGACAAACAGTGGCTGCTTCACTTTGGAGTGATGTAGGACGTTCAGTGTTTGTGTCTTTCCCTGCTGTTGCCCATAACTTTTGGCATGGGGCAAAATCTTCTGGCAGCAACTCTCTCAGCACACTCGCAAACGGAAATAATTGCATGAACGTGCGTCATATTATGCTGGATGACACATGAACAAGTATGACAACACAGATAGTTAATACGTGGTGAAACATATCTCGGAATGAGAATGGTGCAATGTGTTATGGGTTATGGGTTGTGGGTTATTGGGTTGTTCTTGTTCTTGTGTTTATTATGAATTTTGTATTTTTATATTGTCATTTTATATTGTATACTGTCCTGAAACCTGTGGGTATATGGCGGTATACAAATTTAATAAATAATAATAATAATTCTTGGCCTGCTGTTGTCCAGAGACAGGAGACAATACCAGCCTGTTCCAGAGATTTATGCTGAGCAGGATTTTGTTAAAACAGCAGCAACACCAAAGTAACTTTCTGAGTTGTGTACATTGTTAGCTAATTCTTAAATACAGTGGTACCTCAGGTTACATACGCTTCAGGTTACAGACTCCGCTAACCCAGAAATATTACCTCAGGTTAAGAACTTTGCTTCAGGATGAGAACAGAAATCGTGCAGTGGAGGCGGCGCGGAAGCAGCAGGAGGCCCCATTAGCTAAAGAGGTGCTTCAGGTTAAGAACAATTTCAGGTTAAGAACAGACCTCCAGAACGAATTAAGTTCTTAACTCAAGGTACCACTGTACCAAGTTTCTTTAGATTACTATTAAAATAAATGTTACATTAAAAGCTTAATTATGCACATCTACTTATTTAAAATGTAGCTTTAAATGCCCTTCTGCATGATTTTAAAGTGTACAGTACTTTTGAGTTCATGCACCCCCTCCCTCCATGAAAATTCATTTTTAAAAATTATGGGTCCAATACTACATGTACTGGGATGCCAAAACCTTCCAATTAATTTTGGTGTCAAAGTGAGTGATCTTCTTTCATCACTGAATAGATTGTAAGGGAAAGAAGAACTGGAACGGTGGTAGTGGGAAGAAAATGGACAAAAAAAAAGTGTGCCCTTTTCCATTCCCCTCAGCAATTTACTCTTCCTTTTCCTGCAATTATTTGCATGACCTTCCTTCTTAATAATGTGGATGACAATGCAGCTTGAATATAGGAAGGAAATGCTTACCATTTAAAGACTCTCACTCTCTCAAAGCTGAATTTCTTGTAAAAATCATTGCATCAATAACTTGGTTCATCATTTTGGAAATAGTATCATCAGTGCACTTATCACTTAAGGCATAAGTGTTGAAGCAATTGCTTCAATCACTGCCAATCACCGTGTCTTTGTTCGGCTCATGGAGCTAGTATTACGCTTCATGTACATATTTCATTACGCTGTGTCTCATTGACCACCTACTGAGAATGCTAGACATTTCCCTTTGGGATTTCATGTTTCTATCCTTAGAAAAGCAGAGTGTTCCAGTAAAAGCTGAGATGCAGACTAGATGAGATATGTCTGAGAGTTTATTCTATTCTATTTTCTGTTTTACATAACTGTGCAGGCAGGAAATGGTGCATGTAGTCAGGTTTGGGGTTGTTTTTTTAAAGCAAAATTCTTTTAAGCAATGTTCCAATCATTGCCCTGCCACCACTTCTATGCATATTAAGGCATGGGTGTGTTATTCTGGGTTATCTGTACTCAAATTCAAAAAGATAGCAAAGCATCCCTGAATGTTCTTTGTTACTAGAATAGTGATGAACCACCCTAGGGATGGGGATTATTATTGCTACACGTTGCTGTTACCATATAAGTGTTCACACCCAGAAGAGTTTGACTTATTATCTCGTGTGGGGGGCCTCTGTGGCTAAGATAAACTCCACTTGAGGAATGATGAAGTAGTTGCCTTCTACATAAGACCTACTTACTATGACTTTATATGATCAGGTATTGCCTCAGCCTCTTTTCTACCCCCCATCTAACTCCCCACAGCACCAAAAAAAGGCAATCCCCAGTGTAGTCCACACTGATGGTTTGGTTACTCTACTGATGGTATATTTTTCCTTTATTGATTTGGTATATATTTTATGTGTAGATCATGACAACTTTAGAATAGCCTAGATGTTTTATGATCATGCCTTTTAAAGGCTCTCCCCCATGTTTTATGTTGGTACTGTACTTGAATGTAATATGATGCTTTGACTCACATTTTTTCATAGGTTTCTTGCTTTTCCTTTGTATGAGAGTCATTATTGACATTTATTGCCATTTGTTTATGGAGCATTTTGTTATAAACAACTTTTTCAGGATACCACTGCTCTGTAACAACTAGTACTTTCTGGTCCAAAGAATAGCTGCCACAATATCCTCTAGGAGGCATACCAAAGAATGTAGCATTCGGGCTCTTCAAGGAGAGTTGTACTGTATTGTCAAAGATATATAAACCATGCCATGTGTGAATGGTATTTGAAGAAAGATGTCCAAAGTAAAGCACACTGTTGCAGAAGAACACCGAGAGAAAAATAGTTACCGTATTTTTCTGTGTATAAGTAGGTTTTTTTACTAAAAAAAATGTTAAATAGGGGGGTAGTCTTATACATGGGGGCAATCTTCCCCCCATTGTCTAATTTTGAGCCACCAAAATAGGGGGTGTCTTATACACAGGGGCGTGTTATATATGGAAAAATACTGTATATTATTTATAAAGACCTCTGGGGAGTCATTTTGCTACCAACAGTTAAATAAATCATATTTCTCTTTTTGAAGCTTTATTATCTGTGGCTTCATTTATTTATGACTAAGTTGCACAAAGAAAAGGGATCAAATTGAGTAAGCTGGATCCCAGTGCTACTTCTTTTTCTTATGTAAATTAAATGGTGTAAAATCGAAAATTAATGAACAAAAGCATTCTTAGAAATTTCTAGTTATCTTGTTGAATAAATGTATGATGATAAGTGTAAGAACTAGCTATAATTTGTTTTAGTTCCTATGGATTTCTGGCATCCAATAAGAAAGGTGAATTGGGCCTATTGAGGTATTTTGTGCAATTATGTCTCACAGAATTCATGCTTGATTTTTCTTATAGCCAGTTGTGTTTATGAACGTTTTATTTTATAGTTGACTAATTCAGAAAAACAGTTGTCCTTAAACTTAGCTAAGGTCTAGACAGTGCCACCAGCATTTATTTATGAGCCCTCAAATACTAAAGTGATCAATACTATAGAAATGCCTTTATTTAGGTGGCTAATGCCCAGAGTGTGGAGTTACATACTGGCTGCTGCATGTTAATCCCAGAATGACTTGATTTTGTCTGATAGAAATATGATCTGAAGAGAAACCAGAGTTTTTCTTTTTCTTTTGCCAGATTGCATCCGTGCCTGTTTTTGTTTTGTTTTTTACAAGAGCATAATTATCAGTAAAGTCTCTTAATGGGGAAGAATTCACTTGCTTTGTTAAGAATAACATCAAATTTATATTTCTGGTTTTGTAAGACATATTAGGTTTGATAGAGGCTTGCGTCTAATGCTGGAGGAAAGGGTGGGAGTAATGCAATTTCTGCATATTTCTTTTACTATTTCCTTCCAAAAAACCTGCTCCAGTGGACTGGGAGGCTCTCCACAACTATATGAGGTGATGCTCTGGATTACAGGGTAAAAGCGAAAATAGTGAAAAATGGCTGCCTCTATCAGAGGCCTCCCCCCTTTGAATTTTGCTTTCCTCTGCGAAGGGAAAGAGCCCTTCCATTACAAGTGTAAATTCAACCTTTTTATTTTTTAAAAATGTTCTTTGTATGAAACAAGTACCAGCCCTTCCTCTGGACACAGAACATTAATCCCAAACTGAAACTGTATGTAACAGGAAAAAAGGATTATGGATATATCTTCTGGTACTTTACTAAGAGCTTCATTTCCCTGGAAATCTAGACCACTTCAGTATTTTGTCATCTTACCCCACCAACCACCTTCATTTTAGCCAACTCAAGCAACATGTAATAGTAAATCATAGCAGTCTAGTGTGTTCCCATGTTTTACTCTTGTGTTTTCCTCTCCAAGCTGTTTGTGGCAATTCTGGACTATCCTGGTTTATGCTCTTCTCACATTTCCCCCAATGTAGTAGAGAACTGAGAGAATGAATGCAATTCTGAAACTGCAGTACTTTATCTGTATCTGTAGTTTACACAGATACATTTACTTCAGTTTGGGACTAAACTTTATCTGTTGAGTGATATATTTTCTCTGGGCTCAAATGATGATGATGATGATCTAAAACGTTTATTTCTCAGTTTTTCAGTTGTGAGTTAAATTAGCACAGCCAGCTATTAGAAAGTAAAGATACACAGTATCTTCTTTGGTTAATTGGGAAGGTTTGAGGAAAAACACACACTAATGTGCCAATTCTGCAGTGCTAAGTCCAGGTTACAGAGACCCTTTCCAGAATAAAACCACCACACATTAGAACAGGATTTATATGTTGTTAGCTAACTTGGCAGGACCTTAAATAAAAGCAACAACAGCTAAGGAGCATACATACTAAAAACCTAACCTGCATTTCCCCTTTACTGTGTACCTTAGTGATTTACAGAAACTTAAGTGTTTTGTATTGTTTTTGCCTATAGGTCCCAGGGGTGGAGTACTGTGCTTACTCAGGCTTTTGTGCCCAGATAGATTCTGCTAATAGGCCAGCACTCGGCGGAAACAGGTAGGTTCATAATCCGCTTTCTTTTTATTAGGAATGACATATAGAAACATAAGAATCTTGCCACTAGACAGAGCATCACATACATCAGGGGTGGAGAATTATTTTCAGCCAAAGGAATACATTCCTTTCTGATCAGCCAAGGGGGGGGGGCACATACCAGTGTGGGAAGGGTAAGAGGGAAAACTAGCTGGAGAAATGAATATAAATGTTACTTCTGTATGTAGGCTGCTTTCCACCGGAAAATCACCCCCCCCTTTCTATTATCCATCCTGTCAAGCAAGAGGTACTATCATAGTTCAAGAACACATTCCAGCCAGACGGTAACGTGCAAGGAGGGTATGAAGCAAGGCAGGTTAGGGGATGGTCTTTTTGACAGAGGGCCTCTGGACGGAGGAGTTAGTGTTGCCTGAGGAGAGTCCCAAGGGTCAGGCAGAGAGGCCTGGAGAGCCACATTTAGTCCCTCAACCTGAGCTTCCCCACCCCTCTCATACAGTCTTACCAACTCATTCAGATACTTCTTTCTCACATACACGTGTTGGTCTAAACCACACCAGATAAGTATCAGAGAAGAAACTAAGCTGTTACATAAAATGGATAAGATGCATGAAGCGACAATTCCCTGTTTATCATTTTTTTAACTTCGCCTTTGTCAAATTTCAGAGGCTCTCTAAGTTTATTTTATGGATTTATAAAGATCTGCTTTATCTGTGCCATGAAATATTGATAGGGCAAGATAGCTTTGCAATACCATTGTAGTTCATTCAGGGAAACGTCAGAACCTCAGCCAACTGGACATATTTATGTTCTGTGGGAGCCTCTGTACACAAAATTGGAGAGTTGGTGAAATACATCAAAGTGAACCAAGCAGCTTTTGTCTTCTCCCCTGGTAACTGGCTAGCAAGCAGGAAGCAGAGGCAAAGAATATATGGATAGTTTTCACAGTGGAAAGAAGTAATCAGCAGGGCCCCTTAAGGATCAATATCCACAACCCAAGGATCTGTACTGGGGAAAGTCCTATGTAATTTATTCATGAATAATCTCAAGTCAGGAGTGAGGCAACCATATATTCAAGTGTTAGCAAATTATTCAGGAAGGTGAAAATTGATGCAGAGTGCTGACTGCTCAGATGGTTAGAGCATGGTGCTGACAACACCAAGGTTGCAGGTGCAGTCCCCATAGGGGATAGCTGCATATTCCTGCATTGCAGGCGGTTGGAATAGGTAATAATTTATTTATACCCCGCCCATCTGGCTGAGTTTCCCAAGCTACTCTGGGTGGCTCCCAATCGAGTGTTAAAAAACAATACAGCATTAAATATTAAAAACTTCCCTAAACAGGGCTGCCTTCAGATGTCTTTTAAAAATAGGATAGCTGCTTATTTCCTTGACATCTGATGGGAGGGCGTTCCACAAGGCAGGCGCCACTACCGAAAAGGTCCTCTGTCTGGTTCCCTGTAACCTCACTTCTCGCCATGAGGGAACCGCTAGAAGGCCCTCGGTGCTGAATCTCAGGGTCCAGGCTGAACGATGGGGGTGGAGATGCTCCTTCAGGTATACAGGACCAAGGATGATCCTTGGGATCACTTCCAGCTTGATGTTTTATGTTCTAATTTGTTGGAAGCTGGCCAGAGTGGCTGGGGCAATGCAGCCAGATGGGCAGCATATAAATAATAAATTCTTTGATTCTAAGATCTCTCCAGACTGGGTGCGTGAGAAACAGCATGACATTCAGTGTAGGTAAATGCAAAGTTTGAGACAATAAAGTCCGATTTTTATATATGTACTGTTAGGATGTATGCTAGCTGTGACTATGCAACAGACCTTGGGGTCATAGTGAAATGTTCCATGGAAATGCCAGCTTTTGTGTTTATTCATTGCTATGGATTATTAGGAAAGGATCTGAAAATAAAACAGCTAGTATCATAATAGTCTTTATAAAATATATATTTTGCAGCCGCATTTGGAATACTGCTCACAGTTCAATTACTCCATCTCAGAAAAGGATATTGAAGGTCTAGAAAAGGTTCAGAAAGGGTAATGAAAATGACAAGAGGTTGGAGCATCTTTTCTACAAGGAAAACCTCTAGCATTAGAGGCTTTAAAAAACAACCTGCTCATAGTTTAAAAAAAGTTATGGTGCAGATGAAATCAATATAATGGAGATTCCCCCCCCTTTCTTAATAGCACTTGTGGTTGATAGTAGATTCAAGATAGACCAAGAAAGTACTGTTTGACACAACATTTACATAGAACTTGCAGAATTCACTTTCACAAGATGTGGTGGAAGCCACTAGTTAAGGTAAATATCTGAATGGTAGTCCCTGGTGGAGAAACAATAGGGCCTGTTTTGGGGGCCCATCATCGGTCGGCTTAATCTGGCCCCTGTGACAGTTTTCCTGGGGCAAAATCCTAAGAAAACCCTCAACAACTTCAATCCTAAAAAAAGGTCAACAACTCTGGCCCCCATGGCCCTTCACTTCATCAAATCTGGCCCCCCCCCTTTGGAAAAAGTTTGGACACCGCTGCCTTAGGGAGAGGCCTGCTGCCTTTGGCCCATGCTTTTGGGCTTCCTGGAAGTATCTGGCTTGTCTCTGTTAGAAGCAGTGACTATTTGTCTTACTTAGAAGATCTAGCTGCTAATTCTCCACCGAAAGGGCCTAAAGTGCATGGCACTATTATCTAATCAGATAGTCCATGTGCCTGAGCCTCGTACTACATGGTTGACTCACTGAGAATAATCAACAAGTAGATCTCCAGATGACAAGTATTTTGGATAATAAGATTTGACGAGGATGTTGAGGTGAAGTGAATGTTTGCATAGCTTGCAGCAGTGCTTCCTGTTTAAATACAATACAGAATTCTGTGAACAGGCTCAACTAACCCTCTGTCATTTGTAGTGCATAACATGTGCTAATATGGGGAGTGTTGATACAGTTTTCTTTAAAAGAAATATATGAAAATGGACTAGTGTCATGAATTAAAAATTCTCCCACAATCAGATTCTGGAGGTTGCAAAACATTTCCTAATGAACAATTCACTTGTGCATTTATTCCTTCCTGCCCCCTCTGTTATCACCTTCACCCCTGGGTAGTTTATGTGATTTGTTACTTTTAGTTCTTAACTGGAACCTAGAGAGCTAAAGAATATGAGAGTGTTGTTTTGAATAAAAGTATTGTTACGTCTGAACATTAAATAATTGTGACACCCAGGAAAAGTTTTTTCAGGAGGGTGGAATCCTGCTTTAAGCAGGAGGGAGCACAGTTTTCTTGCCTTTATTTCTTTGTATTTAGTCAGATTGCCCACATGACTGTGACTTTTCAAGATGTGAAAATCATTTGTTCCTTGATGTGCACATTGTTCCATGCAATACACAAGCAGGGGGTGGATGCTAAAAATAAAAATCCAATTCCTCTGTCCAGAACACTTACATTCTGTCATATAAATAACACACACACATTATTCATATGGGCATGATTTTGCTGAAATTATCTTCTTCAGTTGCACAATTGAGTACTTATAAACTTCAGTTCCGCTCATGGCTACCCAGTAGTGGTGGCAGCATGACACTTCTACTAAAAATGAGGATTGAGGAACATGCATGGTTTATAAACTTACTCTCTATTGCCCATGTACACAATGCTACTTCACAATAATGGTTTTGTGTGTGCCCAGTGCCTGAAGCAGAATTGTGTCTATCACAGTGGCACTGAGAAAAGAAAATCTCTTTTGTCTTCTGCTGCAGAACTCCATAGATCTGCCCTAGAAAGCTTTCTGAGATCATCTGAGAGCTAAAGCTGAAGCCTAGAGATGGGCAGAGCTCTCTGATAAATTTTGCTAGTCTTACTGTTTCGTATGTTTTGCCAGAGCAGAAAGGTTCAAATTCGTCTGGCAATGTACCTTTAGAGGTGCAGAGTTCCCCTATGTTCATCAGATTTTTTATTTTCATCACTTGAAATTCTTCTGATTTCACCTGAGCAGCAACCGTGCAACCCTTGTTTTGGATGAAATTCAGGGGAAACTTGAGAGATTGTATGTATGTATGTATTTGATTTTTTCATGTAATCTGTTTGGACATCAGCATAACCCTTTCCCATCATGGAAGTGTAGAACTTCCTGTCAGCATTTGGTCCTATTAACATATTGGCTAAACTCACTCATTTGTCATACAGAGATCTGGTAACCTCTAGGCTAGATTACTACAGTCTATTATACATAGGGCTGTTTCTGAAGACGTTTCAGAAACGTCAGCTGGTGCATAATTGGGCAGCTGGGCTGCTTACTGGGGCAAGACAGTTTGAGCATATTACACCGATTCTGACCTAACTTGCAATGGCTGCCAATTAGTATCTGGGCCCGATTAAAAGTGCGGGTGTTGACTTATCAAGACTTAAACGGCTCAGGACTGCAATACCTCAAGGACTGCCTCTCTCCATCATCATCTGAGGCCCTTATTTGTGTTCCTCATCCATGAGAATGGGCCTTTTCTGCGGTGACTCCCCATTTGTGGAATGCTCTCAGAGAAGCTCGCCTGGCACCTTTATTACATATCTTTAGGCACCAGGTGAAAATGTAACCAGGCCTTTGGCTGAATAATGTTCTATATATAATAATTTAAGGAGAAACAATATATAAAGCAGCATGTTGCATTATTAAGTGATTATGTATTATTAGTATTATTATTTATTATTATTTATTTAATTTCTATACTGCCCTATACCTGAAGGTTTCAGGGCGGTTTGACCTTCATTGTATGGCAGCTACCTGAGTTCAATGTAATCATGCTGAAGAAGAAAATGTCAGGTGACTTCTGATGAGGAAGTGAAAGAATAATTCAATACTGAAAAATCCCTGTTTTTATTCATTTAGAAAGCACATACAGCAATGAATGGGGAAGTAGTAGAGAGAGATGCAAAATAGGTGATCGTACAAATCATTTCAAAAGTAAAAGCGAGACGTTTCCTGGGTGATTTTGACATCAGTCTTATGTGAGTTCTGAATCTGCTGTACCGCCTCGAGATTAAAAAAGGGGAAATCACACTGAATTTCTGAGATGTAAGCTGTCTCTTTTTAAAAATCCCTCCATACAATTGTCTGGTAGGCATAAAAAGTTTTTTGTTTTGCCTTTTACTCAAGATCTCTTCCATGGGGAAAGTTGAACTCATTCAAGCCATGGTTTCTTTTCTCAGTGTCCGCCTCTGATGACAAGTAAGGATACTTGTGAATGACGACCGCCCTTTAGTTCTTGTCCTTTTCTTTAATTTCTTCTGGTGTTTGAGTGAAATTCCAAGTTCCTCCATTATGGCATTGAAAGAAAGACACTAGTAGAAGGTGGGAGATGAAAAAATAATTAAGAATTACATTTAGCACAGATTGTCACCCTATTTTGCACAATTAATTTTCAACTAGATTCTGAACATACTAACTGGGAAGTTTGAATATCTCAGTTCATTGAGTTAGATTTCTTCCACTATTACTTTGAATTTGCAGAATTGAATTAGGGGTGTGATGTGTAAAGGATTCTTTATGACCCCAGAAACTGTAAATATTGGTTGCTTCTTTATTGAAATGTGTATGTCCCAATGCTGGGAATCTGGCTAATTGGCATTACACAGAAATAAGGGTTGCAAAAGAATAGAATCACATATTTAATAATATCCAGCCTCAGATGGAATTCATGTTGCCCCTTAAAAATCTAAATGAGGATAACCAAGATTTGTTGATTTAGCAGACTTATAACTTGCATCCTACTGCAAAGCCTTACCAGTTGAAAAAAAATAAACTATTAATCAGCATACATTTTTATCTAAATAGCACTGAGCCAAAATATTACAAAATCAATACTTTGGAGCAAAATGGTGCTTGTGCTGTGGTGGGTTTCTGAAAACCCTGAACCATGCGTTTAATTTGTTATTCTGCAGCTGTTTGCAAACTTTGACCCCACAAGAGAAGTGAGCCCCATCAAAGGACTGGAAGAAAGGGAAGCACCCCCACATTGATTAGGCAACCAGATGAATTTTGCTATTTTCCTTTGCTGTGCTGCAGTGACTCACCATGTTCAGTTGAGTGCAAGAAGAGAGGGAAGCAAAACAACATTGCCTAGGCAATGCAAGGAAATACCGGTACCCGTCTCACTCTTGCCACCAGCACAATGAGTGAACTCTCCCACCCTTGAAGTCTCCTCTGAATAACTGACAAAGGGAGGCAGCAGTGAAGCTAGGATTGGTACCTCAGCTAAGTACAATTTTGGGGACTAAACTTGCACATCCTGATCAAAATCCAAGTTTTGGGATTTTAGCTAGTTCATTACCATGGACTTCAACAGAACAAAATCAGCTTACACCCAAGTACTTAGTCTTATTTTGGTTGCTCATTAGACTGCCCACCACCTGCTCTACCTCATTGTCATTTTGCCTCTTACTGATTTTGTACCAGAAAATGTAGCCAAAATTCTGTCTATTGTGTTGAACTTTTTCATGCTTTTTTCAGCATGTCCAAAATGCAATATCAAAAGGCTTTTCCAAAGCTTTATTCTCCTGTTTAAGTTTGTAGGAAGCAAGACCAATGCTTGTTTTCTTTTTTTCAAAGAGTGACTAGAACTTCTTAGATAAGTTTCATGCTTGAACAGTTTAAATAGGAACGTTTTAAGCAGCAACATATCACTGTAGTGGTGAGAAGTAACAAAGAAATAGGTTAACAGTAATAAACATTTGTGGGCACCCAGATTATATAGCTAAGTGCCAATACCAGAAGTTGAGTTCTCAAACAATTTTTTTTGTTTTTCGTCTCAGGAATTGCAATCAATTGTTCTTTTGTAACAAAGAGACTTAATTGCAAGAAAGAAACTAGAAAGCACTCGAGCTATAATTTACCGGTACTGAGCCTGTTGAGGTATGTAGGAAGACTTGTAGGCAGCCAACAAGGATTTCATTCTTTCCCTTCCCATATACTACACTGAAATGGGAGTTTGTAGCTCCTTTGTTTAAAAACAAAGAAGATGATTGTGAAGATTGCTATGGTGGAAGTGGTGTTTTTCTTTTAATTATAGTCTATGTTATGCATGGACAGATGGACAACAGAAATTATTGCTTGTGGTGAAAAACCACAGCTCATTGAAACTTATCTGAAATCCTAAAAGCTGCTGCTAGCCAGTGTAAGGTATCTCAAAATGTTTAATTAGCGTTTGCTATTCAGGAAAGGAAGGATTTAAAAATAAATCCAAAAGCTTAGAGCAGGAGTGGCCACTCTTAGGGCCTGCTGATGTTGCTAGACTACAACTCCCATAATCTCTGACACTTGGAGATGCTGACTGGGCCAACTGAAGAGCCACAAAATATCCATTGTAGAAATTATTCTGGTCATGTGAGAACGTGGGAAAAATGGAGTACATCTGAAATGCTCCATGCCAGAATTGTATGGAAATTGGAGAAGGAAAGGTAGCAAGAGTTTCAGTAATATGCTCAAATAATTTAAAATTTATCTTAATTGGATAAATCAGAGTTTCTGTTTTGTTTTAAAAGCAGCCAGTGAGCAGTGTCTGTGTCTATAAATAGTAAAAAAATAGTAAAAAAGACACATCTGCTATAATCTAGAGATCATGAGTTGTATGTGGGAAAAGGCTGTTGTGCATGTGTCAGCAAATGGCTGTGTGGCTCTGGTACCATTTATATTGAAAATCCATGTAGTATATAGAAATGTGCAAGGGCAAAGTCAGGCTAATGGGCTGCCTGGTCTGGTGCCAGATTGATTACACGGGAGCTGGATGCAAACCCCATGTGCAAGTTGCATGCCTGTCAGAAATACATCCAACATGTCCATTGACTTGTTTTCTTTCCTTTGCCAAGATTCCTTTTTATAACATGGAATTTATAAACAAGATACAAAGGTAAAGTGAATACAAGAGGAAACAGTGAGTCATTGATACGCAGCTTGTAGCCATGGTTTAGTTAGCTTACAGAACATGGAAGTCAAGGGGAGTATAGAAATATAGAAATGTTGATCAATTGGCGATGGCATAAATTGGAAGCGGAATTCATAAAAGTATTGCATTAAATTAAATTAAATATTACTCTGCTGCCTTGGGCCAAACTGAAGGTTACATAAGAGGAGAAAAGTGCAATGTTGTGTAAATAAAGGGGGTGAGCATTTAGGACCATAATTTGAAGTAGACAACTGATAAAATGAATCTTATTTTAAACTAAAAGTTTTGTTGATGTCTAAGGTAACAATTCTGATCACAATAACTTTCCACTCAAATCAGTTTAGCTCTGAAGTAGAAGCAATGATAACTGGGGTGTAAGTGTGTGAGCAGTTTTGAAGTTGAACAAGTTGTCCTTAGTGGGTTCCCAATAAGTCCTGGACCTACTGCAAACATTGTAAACTGTGAAAAGAGAAGAATTTTAAGGGGGTGGAGAGAGACAAATTATGAGTGATATTTACTCGAGTAGATGCATCGAAACAAGTGGCTCAAACACAATCATGTCCATTCATTTCAGTGGGTCTACTCTGAGTAAAACTTTGTGGACTACAACTCTACAATATTTACACTGGCCATAGTATAGATGATAGATGAGATTTCAGTTTTAAAAAATGGGCTCTGTAAACACAGTTCCAGATGCTGGATCAGGGATGGGAAACAGCTGGTGCAAGCAGTTTACCATTCTAAATGCATGGAAGCATGCTTTCACACATGTAATGGCCCCAATAGGATTGAGTGTATTTATGAGTTTGAAAGATAGCATTGCATTTTGCCCAAAACATTCTCATAATTGTATTTGGAAAATACAACACAATGAAGCACAAGTAAGGTTAACTAATTGAAGTGATATGCAAATGGACAGTGTTATCAGATTATGATGCTATACTAGAGTAATTTGGAAATTGGATTCATTACTGGCTTGTGAAGTCTAGATATTTTATGGCATATAAATACTGCAATTTATTTGGTAAGTTCTATCAACTGGATTTTAGTTAGAAATATACGATTTTTTTAAAATCTTGACTTCACAGACACAAAGCTGTCAGCAAAGAATGGAACTGTCTGTATCCGTGTGGTAGTTCTCAGAAGTCAACAGGCACCTGAAAGCTTATGACTGGATAAGAAAGAACAGCACTGGCTTTTAGTGCAGGGTAAAACTTATTATCTAAAACCCTTGGTTTCAGGTGCTGGCATTAGTTCTGCCAGGATAGAATTCAAACAAATTTGTCTTACCTGAAAATGCTGAATCATGCAAAAAGAATGGTAAAAATTTATTGACCCCAATCCAAAAACAGATGTAAGCAGCAAGGTACATTACTGGTGGAGTGATCCAAGACAACAAACCTTGCAATGTAGATAGGAATTAACATCCTCATAAAAGAGAATGGATAGGGATGTATGTTTCCTTCCACATTGTTAGACAAATGAGAATGTGTGCCTGCTCCAAACCAATGCATTGTGGATAGGGATTACATCTGATGTGTAGTAGTCCTTTCCAATGTATCTTGTACAGTGGTACCTCGGCTTACAAACACTTCGGGTTACAGACTCCGCTAACCCGGGTTAAGAACTTTACCTCAGGGTGAGAACAGAAATTGTGCAGTGTGGCGGCAGTGGGAGGCCCCATTAGATAAAGTGGTACCTCAGGTTAAGAACGGTTTCGGGCTAAGAACGGACCTCCGGAACGAATTAAGTTTGTAACCAGAGGTTCCACTGTATTTTACCAAACAACAGTTATTAATTATAGCATTCTGTTACACTGTGATGTGGCATTTAGAATGCATTTTTAACTATACCAATTCTCAGGATGACTGGAGAATCATCCAACAGTTTGAACATAAAGCCTTGGTAGAAAAAGCTTAAAAGTATTTTGGACACTCAAGTGGTAGGTATACCTAGTAGGATTTTTTTTAATCTTTGAACAGCAGCTCCTGATAACATACCACAACTTGCTTTTGAAAGTCCTCTCACTTTCAAAAGCCATTTGCTATTTGACACGTGGGGCTACTATAAGAAACTCTAGCCCAGAACTGACTTTAACACAGTGGGTAGTATTCAACTGAATAGTTGTGCTGGCAGAAGGATTAGCAAGAGTAAAGGGGGTTCCCCCCCCCTTCCCTACATTCTGCCCTCAAATCTGCTTCAGAGGTTTTTTGGGGAAACCCAGAAGAGATTTAGAGGTTGGCTGTGGGGAGGAGAGGGAGAGAAAGTTCTATTGTGGAAGAAGAAATCCTTGTGCTGACTTAGCTTATTGCTGTGTTGAATACAACCCACCATGTTCTTCTTTGGATTCCAGCCAAAATATGGTTTCCTGCTAATGTACATTGTTGAAGAGGTATGCCTTAGGTGCACACACCTTTGCTTTACTGTAACTATACAGTATGAATTGAGGGTTGTGTTCGAATCCCTCGTTCCTCCCGAATTAATTTGCCACAGTCTAACTCCGTAGATAAGGTAGTCCCAGAAGTGGAGTTGGATGGATGCGTTTGCTTGCACTGCAGTCCATAAAAGAAACAAAAGGCCTTTTCGCATGCAGAAAGGAAAAGATGGAAAAAAGAAAAATAAAGATAATAATGGTTAAGCAAACCAACAAGAAAGTTTAAAATAAGAATGATACCAAAACTATAGGAAATGGGAAATGAAAACTGTCAAAAATACGAAAAATTAATGGCCCCTCCAGACAACCTGTTTATTGAGCATTCATCAATATTTACTTGCACAAAGCTTATGTGGAGGATTGATTATATATTGTCTTTACTGAGCATTTATCCTGATTTGCTTGTAGGGTGTTTGCATGTCTTCCTGTTTGTTCATTCCATACTTTTCACTGTATTTCCCTATCTCTTTCCAAACAGAAAAAAGTCATTTAAAAATGGATTTGTTGTGCTAGGGTGAAAGAGCCCTTTAATCCACGCTTCATTAAGCAAACCTAAACTTCCAGTGTGTGCTTGAATTCCTGCCGCAAAATAGTGGCAGTCTGGAGGTGCCATAAGTTAACCTTTGTACTTTAGATTATTAAATGTTCATAATTCAAGAACCAAGCAATCTGTATGAATGCTTTACCCTTCACAGTTCTCTTAATTGTTTCACTGAATAATGATAGAAGAGCAGAATAATATTCATATTACCATTCACCAGGGATGCATATGAGATTTCTTCTGAGATTTTGGGGTTCTGAGTTACCTGAACATTTTAAAAGAGCGGCAGTGATGTGTTACCGATCCACCATTTTTCTGGGTTTGATTCTCTGACTTCTCAAACTTCTGCACATGCAGAGAGTTTGATGCCGTATCCAGCTTGTACTTCCACCCACCCCCAAAAATTTCTGCTGACACCATGCAAAAAGGAATCTTGATAAGATTAGCCTGTGTACATTGATTAAATCAGAGCACAAAAAGGAATCCTGATGACCATTAACATTTGCACATAATCTCATAATGAAAACAAAGAAGAAAGTTATTCCAACATTAATTTTCTAAATTTGTCAAGGTAAATTTTAAGGCAGACATTACAGTATACAGGGCAGAACCTACCAACCTGCATAATGATAATGATAATGATAAACAAAATAGGGGCAACTGCTCATCCACCCCTGCTCTTTACAAGTTTCTGCCGTACAGTGAGATGATTTTACATAAATATGATATGTATTATGTCAGAATTCTCCTCTTGTGGTGCACAGAATGCTGATCTGTACATAGTAGGAATTTATCAGTTTCACTGAAATGAATGTGTTGTTTCTTACTGGCTTCAAGACTGTAGAAAACAGATGCCACCCAGCAAACACTGTTCTTGTGCAGTCCCCAGTCATTTTAACAGGATTTGCATAGAAGCAACTGACCTTTACTGTATTATATAGTTGCTCTAATAACAAAGCAACCATCTATCAGGCAACTCTCCATGCATTATTTGCTAATTTTAAGGTAAAAATGTTCCAAAGGTAGGATTATAAATATAGACTTCAAAATAGCAGGCTGATCCTATCCTTAGTGGTTCAGACATGCAGAGCCTCAAGCCACAGTGGCTGCAGCAGCCTCCTGCATTATTCAAGCAGAGCTGGAAAGCTCTTTGTTGCTGCATAGCAAAGGAAACACCCATGCTATAATCTCAGGATCGGCCACGGCTTTTCCAGAAGTAATGAATTGAAGCCACTCTGTCAGCTTTTATGATGGGCATGTCAGCAACACCTCTGAACCTCATAGAGACTTTGTAACCTCTCTGTTTGAGTAGCAGGTGCCAAGGCAGTGTTCTCTTGTACTGGTGTTGGGAATTTAGCTCTCGATCATCTGCTTTGGTGTCATTATAGGATGTCCCAAATCAACTGGTACATAGCTGGAAATACAGCAAGGCTACATCCAGAGCTAGATATTTCTGCCTTATTTCCTTCCAAGCCAGCCTATGCTTGATTTCCGACAATAAAACAACAACTGTGCGCAATATCAACTGTGCCAAAAAGTTCTGCACAGTTTTGCCAAGTATCAAAAATTGGATGGAGCCCTTGGTACTTCCCTCTCCTCATTAACAAATGTACACAAGGCAGTGCCAGAATGTCTGGCAGACTGTTAGTGGAGGAGTCTGATTCACAGAGCCTATTCTAAAGCTGAGATTCCCATGGGAGCTCTTGCACTGAAATGCCAAAGCCTGCAAAAACCTAACCTGGGTCTTGACCTGCTTCTTAGGTAGGTAGCTTAAGCACTGCATTCTACCTTGCAACGAAGCAGTTATGCAGAAAGAGGCCGAGATAGACTCTCGGCAAGTACTGTATTGCCAGGTCACAACATAACCTTGACAGCTGCTGCTGGCAAATGACCCTGTATACAAAGATAGACTTTTGGAATCTATGGAGAGGGAGCAGTTTTGGGGTTCAGTCTCCCAATCTCAAACCACACGCGAACACATTTTTGTACCACACAGACCCACTCAAACTCGACCTACCTGTTCGATGTCACTGTTTTTCCTCGATTTGTAAATAAATTCTCCAATAGCTACAAACACAGAAAGAACAAGTCCTGCTGCAAGCACTATGAAGATGCCCCCAATGTTCTCCACACCAAGGGCACTGGCTTCTTTGCTGTCCTCCTCAGGGCAACCATTGCCTCGCCACCACTTCTCCTTCATCATGTGCAGCTTTCCTTCCTCTTGTAGCTGGAGAATGGCAATAGTGATTTTGTCTCTGTAAGGAGAGCCTGGGCCAGGGTGGGAGAGAAGCAAAACAAGAAGGTTTGAATATGACATTCAGGCAAGAGCCTAGGCAAAAGTAGAGTTACCAGTCTGATCCAGCTCTTTGTATAGCAGCTGCTGCTGCTGCTGCTGCTGCTGTAGTAGTAGTAGTAGTAGTAGTAGTAGTAGTAGTAGTACTAAGTTGACAATATCAAGAGCACTAAAATATACGATGTGCATTCAAGGCATCCAGAACTGGACTTTGTAACAATGTTACTTATGCTGGTTATTCATATTGCTTGTTATACCACACGGAATGGGCAATAGTTCTTTTTAGTCTTTTTGAATCTTGGTGATTTCTTTGTTCAGCCATTGATCCCATGACTTAGTAGGACTTTGACCTGAGATCCAATTTTCTGTTCGTTGGATAACACTGCTCTTTATCCAAACGGAAAGTAATATTACAGCCAGACACCTGAACCTTTAATTTATCCAGCACTGATCATGCCTCAATCACAGATAAAGTTCTCAGTGTTAAGAGTTCAATCCTGAAACATGTATATTAGTAATGTAGAAAGTACCTTGGAGTTTTGGTTTTCTAACCGTTCCATCTATGTAGAAGAATATTTTTCTAATATTTGGACAAAATAAACTTTTCTATCCCTTCCTATAACCAACACCACCTGTTAGTGGCAAGGCTGACAAAGTTGTCAGATGTCTGTAAATCCTGGAGAAACTTGACTTTCCCATCAGTCATCTTGTGCATTTGTTTTTTGTTGTTGGCAGTTCAACAACACTGCAGAGCAATAATGCAAGAAAACATTTGAGTTCGTTGACTTTGCGAGCATTGTAGCTTATGAAATATTTTAACTTTTTTGTTTGTTTCAATTGTGTGGATGACATTGAGATTATTGATTTCACCATAAACACATACATATCTTCCCAAATCTTTCTTTAAATTCATATTAATCATATAAGAAACCTCTTATAACTACATCCCCCAGCTGTATTTCTGATGCATACGTTCTCCCTAAGGAGCTACCATCTGTTCTAATTTATTCCTTCATTGTTTTGGGCTTGAAGCATAGAATCTTTATCACTGCCCTGAAATCTTTACAGTGCATCAATCATTATCTTGGAACCTTTGCATTTTCTCCTGGGGGCAGTGGTTGACGACTGCTGTCATGAAAGAAATTCAAATACAGTCTGAAACATTAGTCAAAATGCAACAATACTTTACAAATTAAGAGAACTTGGATAAACCTAGTCCTAAAGGCTAATCTAGAATCCTAATATTAAAAATCAGCAGCATTAAACCGGAAGGATGAACTGACACAATTGTTCAAATTTACTGAAATTATTGAAAGTATTTATTAGTCATATTAAGGTTGTAGCTCTACATGTGTGGAGAACATGGCCCAGGGGGCTCCCCTAGACATCCAGTATAATTACTCCCTTTCATGCCAAACATGCCATTGTTGTGCTAGGTGTGCTCCAATGTACCCAGATGACTGGGGCCTTGCTGGGCTTTCCCTAAGTGGCCTTGTGCCTGGCTTTACTCTTGCTTTTTCTGAGAGCAGCCTGCATATTGTGAATCTGGAGAAGAATAAGCTGGTAGATGTTACAAGGAGAGGCCTGCACTTGACATGAAATCTACTCTTTCCTCTTTAGGACCAAGGAAACTGAGGAACAATGAACTGACGAGTGCCAGGCATGTTTTCAAAGTACAGAAGGGGAAAGGAAAGGGCAACTGTCCCCTTCAAAGTACCCACCTCCATCTATAACTTCTTCCGATGAAAAAGCCCCCAGCCTGGCTGCCCTAGTAGCCCACCTTGGTGCCTTAAAGAAGGCAAGCACAACCGAGGAAGCAAAAATAGCTAGTAGGGAAATAGGGCAGGAAATGCTAGAAACTACCAGGTCAATGCAATTGATCTTGCTGCTGTTGAGGCCTGGGTTTTAGTTGAACCTCTACAGGAGCAAAGGTCCATCATTTTAGAACGCCTCTTTGTTTTTTCTCGTTATTAAAATGAGAAGAGGATATAAAAGAACATAAAATAATAGCTTGTGGGGCTTATTTGGATATATTTGTGAAAAACATTGGAACCCTTTTGACCTACCAGAGCTCTTGCAAAGCAGTGAATCTGTTAGATAAAAAGGATTTTAATTTACCTATCTCAGTCTAGCAATCACCACTGATATTCATACACTTCTTACCAATGGGAGTTCCTACACCATAACCTTTGGAATCAATGAGCCCTCCAATCTGGGTGAGATTACAGTTCCTCTGAGTGACGTATTCTATGCTGGTTGATTCCATCAGCAGAGCGTAGTCGGTGGTGAGCACACGCTGGATTCCCTCGTCATTGTTCTTTACCAGCGCTGTCTGCTGCCTGCTGCTCATGAATGCCCACATTTTCTCATAAGTTGATATTTTGGATTTCTAAGAATAGAAGTCACAAGCGTCAGAAATAGGTCCTATTCACACACTATTTTTTTTTAAAAAAACAACCCTCACATCGCTGGTTGGCATCAGCTCTAGTTGTTGAGTGTAGGAGAATCCTTTGAGAATTGGGAATCTTTTCCATTCAGATATATTCTGCTGAATGTAGTCTTATGGGTCAGCACTTTTACAAATTTCCAACAGCTAATATAATGAGCACATGGCTTCTTTTAACACCATTTGTCACAAAATACCATAGAGGCCTGTGGTCTGTTTGTGACCCAGTGAGACCTACAATGGAAAACTGATGGACAGTACAGAACAATTACTGCCAGGTGTTCTATAGGAAAAGAGCTGTGCTCGTGCTCAGCTGTGATAGAATGTACTGTATTGTTCTTAAAAATAGTCCAGTCTGATAAAGAAAGACAGTTTGTTAGCTTCAAACAAAAATATAAAGGCAAACTAATAAAAAAGAATACAGGAACTTAAATGAGTGCTCAGGATAACCAAGGCCCCTGGTCTCCATTATAAAATTGCAGGCAAACTGTTTAATTACTGAATATTCAAAATACAGGTTCAATTTTTAAATTTATAGAGCCCAAAACACAACTGTGTTTTCTTTTATCCATAAAGAACATTATAGTCCCAGCCTTGTTCTTCCATCACTGACTGGGATATGTTCTTTTGCTAGTGATATCTGCTATTCAAATCATCTCTGTTTGCTGGAAAACACCTGAGGTTTTTTAAAAAAAAATACTTAAGAAGTTGAGATTTGCATACAGAATATGAATATCACTTTGGATGGTACCAGGATCTTACATAGTGATGCTTATATTTCTAGTCTTGCATAGAAACCAGTACATTTCCATCATGTTAAAAGGATCCTCTCCCATAAATCTTTAAGGAAACAGCTTGTGAATAAAGTCCCTATTGCCTTCACCAAACAAGAGTTGAATCCCATTACAGAGTCTTTATATTCATGGATGGGTGTAGCCAATACTTTGCGAGACAGGATGTCTCTGTAAATATAATCTTCTGGGATGGCCCCAAGGCAGTGAGATGTTACCTTATCTTTAAGCAGAAACTTAACCTTAGACTTTTCAGTATTTGAACTTTTACTATGTCTCTTCTAGTATGCTATTTTAAACAAAACATTGTTTTTGACTTAAATGTCAAGGTTATTTTGTACGCATTGAATACCATCGCAAACACTTGTATAACCCATATTTTACTGTAGGGCAACATAAATTTCCACATAACTGCAATCTGGAAAGACTCACACATTCTGGCAACGCAAATCTGTAATTAATTAGCGACACTGGTTTCAGTGTGCCAGATTACAGTATTTATCCTTACAGCAGTATTGTGAAATAAGTAATTTATTAATTAATTCCATTGATTAATCACCTAATTAAAATATTTCTCTAGGTGACATATAAAATAATATACAAAATTAAGACAGTGCTACAGTTCAGTAAAACCAATAAAATCTACCTCACAACAATTCGGTAACAAAAAGGAATTATGATTCTGTGTTTAGAAGCAAACAAGGGCAGAGAGAGAGAGAGAGAGAGAGAGAGAGAGAGAGAGAGAGAATGACTTAAAGCATCACTAGCACTGAAGCACAACTTAGAAGTGATTCATGTGGCCATCAGGCACATGGCAATTTCTGGAAATTAACTTTAAATCAATTGCATGTTTTGTTATGACCAGTGGTTTTTAGCAAATAAATTTGACTGACTGACATTGCAAGTGTTTTGCCTTTCTCCCTTAGTGGCCTGGTTGTTTGTATTGGCATTCTGCTGCTACACAAATGTACAGGCTTTTTGCATGCATCACAGTCCACATTGTATCTGGCTGGGTGAATCTGTTCTCACCTGTGAAACATGACCAGGTCTTAAGTGACAAGGCTGCACTCTTCCGACTCCTGTTCATCTACTCTTAGCATCTGTTGGGTGTCCTCTGCAGCTTCCATGAGGCTCTCCTCTCCTGAGCATAGGAGAGCTGGGATTCCTGCCTTTCCATCCAGACGTGTTGGATCTGAGGAAGGGTGAGGATTTCTTTCCTCCAGCCTTGGCTCCAGCACTTCAGCCTCCCCCTCTTCCTCCCTCTCCTCATTGCCTGCCTGCCCAAGCCTGACACCATCTCAGGGCACTTCCAATATTTGTCATGCCCTGAAAGCTTTGCTACAACTCTTTCCTGGTATGGGCTTCTGAGGGGCAATGCCTTTCTTGTATAGTGGCATTTCAGCTTCTCTGTGTTGCATGATTTATAAGTGTGCACAGTATTAAAAAAAAATTCGGCTGTAGCTTCCAGAGCCATCTTAGCAAAAACATGTTTATAAATGATGTAGGAGAAATGTACATATTTATCATAAGGGAAAAAATGGGGAAATGGTTTAAAAATACAACTATTCTTTAATTCTATTTATTTTGACGCTTTTATGGAGAACACCAACAGAATAACAATAGAAAGTACTAAATACTAATGCAGTTAGTTTATTAATCTCATTTCCAAGCAGCAAGGAAGGCTTTATTTATGAATAAGGGTATCAAGGAAGTTTGACATTAACTGTACTTTTGCAGCTGTGTTAGTACACTTAGATATTGCTAGTTTTTAGAAGAGTCAGGAATATAAAGGTTGTGAACCCCAACCCCACAGTTTCACCATGAACTTGTAAATGTGTGGTCAGTAACTGAAAGCAGCCATTTATAAAGTCATGATGGCAACCATAGAAATCTGTTCGCAGAAAACAGCAGAGATAGCAGGAGCACATTCCTTTCCAAATTCCCATAGCTTTGTCAATCTGTCACAGCGTCTTTACAGTGATAGCTTCTTAAAGGTTAGCTTTGCCTCTGTGCATCATGCTTAGATCCCACAGTGGGGATGTGGATAACTATAATTACCTGCATCTGCTCAGGTGTTTCCTCCCTGAGATTACCAACTGCTGTTTATAAAGCTCTGCCATATTCATAGCTTGTTGGCATAATCAGGCTCAGAGTATGAAACTAATAAACTGAGAGCTGCCCCTGTGAACTAAATTAAATTTAATGTGATTATTCCAGAATAAAATGTGTTAGAATTGAAGACGTGATTTATTTTATGAGTTAAAGGTGCAAACCAATGGTCCCTGGGCATGTGTCCCAGGTACCATAAAATTCTGGCAGATCTCCTCTCAGAAGCCCCCTCCCAAGAAATGTGGGAAGGGCTGCTACTCTTACCTCATCACCATTGATAACTCCAGGTGTAAAATATATTTGGTTTATATCTATATAACATAGTTTTGAAATTATATAATTATGTAATTTTGTTTATATTTCCTTAGCTGTGGTACATCTTTCCAACTAGTTCAGATAGATAACTGCCAGAGTTAGTCCAAATTATCCCAACATAAGTGCCAATTTGATATTGTGTGTAATTCTGCCAATAACACAAAGCAAAGGCAACTGGTGATATATCACTTGGGATTCTGTAGACTGACTGGCCACATTTCCCCCAATTTGTCTTTTACTGCAGTAAGTTTTGGCTGTTTCCCAAATGCTGAGCTGGAGTTCTGAAGGGCTTACTGGTGGCTCCAATCTATTTTGGGCTGCTTGTGCAATGGAGGGTTCCTTTGCAGACTGAGCAGTATGGCTTTGAGCAAAGATCTTTGAGTTTGGCAATGGAACAGTGCAGGTCACACACAGTTTCCTGCAGCTATTCCGACATGAATATCTCAGGTTCATTTGATTTCTCCATTCACATTTACTATCTAGTTCAAGAAAAATTGTCACCTGATAATGCAAACACCACCTTACCTTAAAGAAGGTCATAGTTGAGCCATCTCTAACAGCTCCGTATTCTATCTTAGTTTGCTTTGCCAGATCATCTGCAGAATCAATGGGGGATTCCATTCTCTCAACAGTCAAGAAGGCGGCCAAATTAGCAGTGTAGGATGAGATTATGATCAAGGTGAAAAACCACCATATTCCTCCAACTATTCTGGTGGAAAGAGCTTTTGGCATGAGCTCAGATCCTATATAACACCATCAAAACATTTGTATTACAATAGGGTGAAATAAATGTCAAACTAGTTCTACGGACTTACGTTTAGGAACATGCTAAAAGTATGAACAACAGACTACAATGATTTGATGTAATAATCGCGGACATACAGAGTTAACACTAAACAAGGAAACATACTTTGAAAAAGAAGTATGAATGCTAAATGATAAACACATGGATGTCCTTGGGTCTGAATTCCAAATTCACCCCCCAAAATTCTTTGTCATTAATAATATATCTAAATTGCTGTTCCCAGTAACATAATTGGGCTGTGATGCTGAACACACTCAGATGTAAGTTTCATTGACATTACTGTAATAAATGTGGTTAGGAACAGGGAACTTATATTAATGTGAATTATTTTCCTTCCACCTCAGTAATGGCTTGGTACCACGAAATCACATGGAGGAATAGGTTTACTTTAGTAACAGCTACAGAGCTTTAATGGGTAAGAGGAAAAGGGGGGGAAACACATAAATTGTCTTTTAAATATACAGTTAAGCTCTTAGGGACAGTTAAAAGTGAGAACCCTAAGCCATAATGGACAACTGCGATGAAGCAACACAAGATGCAGCAAGCTTAGGACAGTAAATGGATAATTTTCATGTTATTTCATTGTTGAAAGTAAAATTCTTTCCCCACATTAAAGATTTAGTTCTATCTATATGTTTATTGCATTAATTTGAACCCATTTTACCATCCCTGCCCCAGTAAAAATGGTTCTAACTTAATATTTGGTGCTCATTGGATGACTTTATGAAGTGATCCTATTAAATATATATAACCATTTTTAGAGAGCCTGCTGACATCTAGGCCCTTCAGAATTAACAAATTCTCACAGGACCACTTCAACATCAGTGCCAGGTCAAACTGTTATGTCAGAATCAGCCCTATTTGCCCTGCATAGCCTTTCAATGCACGGAAGACAGAAATATTATTAAAAGTTTTCTTCAAGCACCATGAAGTCAGTCTATTCTTCATGGCTGAGCTGACAGACAAGCATATTAGCAAATCAAATACTGATTCAAGATGTTTGCATGGCCCTCTCCTGCACATTCCCTTTCCCTTTCCCGTACTTGCTTGCTTCCCCTTCCTATTCCTGCTTTATCCAGGGAAAATTAACAAAGTGCCCTTCAGCCTCTGGGCAAAACGTAGACATGAAGTTAATTACCTTTCAAGAAAAGCTCCCACTCGCACACATTGTTAAACTTTCCCACCTCATGGGTGCAAGTTGGGCTCAGGCTTCCTTGTAGCAGCTATTATACAGGGCTGGAACAAGGGATTGTGCCACCTGAAGCAGGCAGAAATATTGCTGCCACGCCACCTCTTCTCACCCTCCCATCCTCCTCTTTGCAGCAGCAGCGATGGTGCTCTTCTTCCTGCGCTTTACATGTCTTCTCCCCCCTGTGTTCTTCTCTGAAAAATGCATTAGCATCATCATCACTAGAGGGAGGTTTATCTGCCTCCCTCTTTCCTCCCGCCCCCTGGCTCAGTGCCTCGCTATGTGGAAGGGTCAAAAGTGGCCAGGAGAGAAGCTGTTTAAACTTAGAAACTTTTCAAAAGATGTTTTTAAGTTACTTAATGTTTTTCCAATGCTTTTCCCCACTGTGGAGTGGGTGGCTGAGACCCTTATCTTGTTAGGAGGCAGACAGGCATCTAGTGGTGTTGGCAGCAGCGGCAGGACCACTGGCCAATAATGAGATGAGTTGGGGGCACTTGGGATTGGGACAGTTCACTGCTTCCCTATGACCGCAACCCAAAACAGTTGTCTCATTCTCCTCATGTTTGGGTTGACCCTGTATTTGCATAATAGAAACTGAGCACACCAAGTTCATCAACACAGTTAGCATCACATCTAGTGTGGCTCCCCATTTTGGGAACCAGCCAGTAGAGAGCTTTGCTAATTTTCACCAGGTACAGGAGGGGGATGTAGCAACAAGGGAGAGAACAAGGAACCGGGCAGGGTCTGTATGCTCATCTGTTTAGTTTCAGCTGGGAAATCACATTTGTGTATCTTCTCTTCAACTGCAAGTCTCTGCTCTTACTGAATTTACAGTTGAGTCAAAGTACATGCTTAAATGCTTATTGGACTAAAGCATACATCAGCATGTGGTCAAATTTTGATACAATTTGTTCAGCAAACATTTTTTGGCACTGAAGTGCTGTGCCTTCTAAGACAATTATGTGAGATGAATACAAAAGATCGATGGCCTTGGCAAATTTATTAGTTTATAAACTGTATGGCTGAAAAAGGACCATCATTTTCCAAATGATAGCTGAAAAATAAAACTTCTCTTTATATCAATATGTCTGTGCTAAGAATGAGTCAAGGCTCCAAGCATGTTGATGTAGGCATTTTGAGCGTAATTGATGGGAATTTGCTCCAGTTACTTAGAGTTAAGTGGGTGCCTCTGATTCTATTCTTTCATTTTGTGTTGTATTCTATGTACATACATGGAACGATAACTTCCATTTTATGGGGAATACTTGCCAAACACACGTTTCTTTGTAAATGAGATTGGTAATCTGACATATTGCTTGGGTTTTGGATTGGGATCTGCATATTTATGGCACATGCAGAGCTGCTTAAAAATTAACAGCCTGATCCAGCAAAGATCTGCACATAGAGGCCATCTTCCATGTGTGCACCCAGTGCAGATATGCAGCTAAAGTGCAATACTCAACCCAGTACCACTGAACTAAATGGATTTGTTTGTTTTGTTTTGGATATGAATGATCATCTCAGCCCAGGGTCACTAGTTGTCTACAGTAAGAGCTGGATAGTGTCTGTTTAATGGGATTGTACTCCTCGTTACTCAGAAGCAAGTCCTTCCTGAATTTAACATGACTTACCTTCCAGTGAGTAGATGTAGGATTGCAGCCAAAGCTTCCTATTAATCTCAGAAATGCTATTTTTAAAACCAGTATCTTTATCTCCACTATAATTCTTTTCCTGGCACTCCAACAATACAATTTATTTTTACACAGCCCAACTCTTCCAGGGGTGATGCCCTTAGATTTGATCTGCAGCTGATCTAAACCAGCGCAAGAGGCAGCTGCAAAGAGTGCTGATTCAGTTCTTCATGAAAACATTATTTACTAAAAGCTCAGCAAAGGAATATAAATTATGTAGACACTGATGTAATGCCGCATTTTAATGAATATAGATGGTAATAATGGCTACCTACATTTCAGAAACCATTGCAACTTGTAAGAATAATCTAGAAAATTGGCTTCCTAGATAGGTGTTCCACAATAAAATACTGAGAAGTTTTGAAAGGTTTCAACCTCTAGCTAATTCTAATTTCTCTTTCTCTTCTCTGATTTTCTATCATAAGGAAACTCAGTTGCTTGAGTGAAAACAGAAAGTCTGCATTTTACCTCTTTTAGATTTGGTTGGGTTGAAAATTGCTGAGCTTGTAAAGTGTCAGTGGACACCATCAGCAACTGCCTTAAGCAAGTAAGAAGCTGAAGGCAAGCAGTTGGCTCACAGGACCATGATGACTTACAAATTTTGATTGCTGATTCAGCACAGCTAAAGAATGAACACCTTTAGACCTACTTGGGTAGCATACAGATCTTTTTGCAAGATATTCAAGAGAAATCATTGCTGTCTTTTGCCTCAGTCCAGATCCTCATGCAAGCTCTGATGCACACATGAAGCTCTTCTATGTGCAATTTCCCCTAGTAATCTTTTTGAGGGGAGCAGACCTGTAAGTGTAGAGCTTTATTGTTGCCCCATTCATCCCAGTGAAGTGCATGAGCTAAAACACCTGTGAATTAGGAGTTCTATATGTGCATCAGAGTTGTGGCACATACAGAAATTGCTGGATCAGAAGGTTTTCTTCAGGGGACCTAAGATTCAGAATATGCTTAACAACCTGATCACATTCATGGGTTGTTTTTTTCTTGCGTAAGCCCTATGGAGTTCTTTTTTTATTCTTTTTATTATTATTATTATTGCTATTGCTATTATTATTGCAATTTTGTTACCAAGCACAGGCTTGTGTTATGACACTAAAATACTATATGTGTCTAAAAGAAGAGTGTCATTGAGTTTAGGGAGATGAATGGACATGGGACTGCAGCCTTAGCCTTATTTCATTCATAAGATATTGCTCTTCAAAGCAGCACGATGTACTCATTTCAGAGGATTTTCACTGTCATTAAATAGGCTAGTAAGGTGGGAGCCATGACCTGTGTAGCTTTCTATACATCATCAATTAATTTGCCAAGTATTTTGATAACCTTTCAAAGAAAATATGCTGTATTTGTATAGAGAACTTAAATAAGAGGTGTGAGAAAATAATGCTATTATTAAGAACCAGAGTCAAACAATACTTGCTGAAGACTCTCTAGTGCCTTTTTATGGCAGACATGACAGCCAATCCTGATCCAGACTTTGCTCACGCTCTGTAGAAAAGAGAAAGTCTGATCATCACATTTTAAATGTAATAAACCAGTGGCTTCCAATCAAGCACAACAAGCAGCTTCTGTTAACAAGAAAGAGCATAACAATAGATGCAGAGGTTAGCAACCATTCATCTCTTGTTCAGACTCTACATGTTAATGATGGTGCACTTACAGTCCACACGTACCACAAGTTTGTACATGGAAACATTTGCTTCAACTTACAATTTTGGTTTTTTGCTTTTAAAGCTTCTTCAAAGACAAGCAGAGTCTGGTTGGGGCTGACTGTCATGTACCCAAGGTAGTGGTAACTAGTAGGCACGGCATCCCACAGTTTGCTGTGGATGATGGTAAACTCCAAAAATGGAAGGCCATTCAGAACACAACGTATTTGGGCACTTGCACACACAAAGCATTCACAACTATAGACCTGTCCAATACTGTAAAACCTTAGTCTGTGTTTTACTGACAAACTGGGACAAGAAGCTGATTTTTCAATTCATCTTGGATATAATCCATTCTATTCTGTGCTTGACATCTGCCCACCTTCCCACTTAGCCCAATAAATGCCTAATATACTACAGGGAACAAAATCAATGGCCAGATTCCCACTGGTGTTAGAAAATCAGGCTTATGAAATTGTGATGTTTGATTTCTACTCAACCCCAATTTGTTATTCCTCATATTAATTGTTCTTTGAGTGGGTCTAGGGGTGTTTTCACTTGCATGCCTTTATTAAAATATTTCACTATTCTCATGATTTTCTCAGTGTGTGGTTTTTTGAGGGGGTTCACAATGATTAAACATATATTCTGAACACGCACCTCACATAGAGGCAAAAGCTTATTAATGGGAGCCTCAGAATGAACACATCATATACACACATGGTTAGTATATGCACCGCTGATTCTTCACGTCTATAGCACCTCATTTCCTTTCATTGTAAAATGAGCATCTCTGTGCAGTTTCCAGAATCAACAGCTGTTAGGACGTTGTGGGTGTCAAAGGCTGGATGCATTTACAAGAGGCAAAACCATAAAGACCTGCAGAAAAGTGATTAATTAAGTTTGGGGATTTTTAAGCAATAGAAGTTTGACAAATGCTCATGAAATAATGATTCCCACAAAATGTATTGTGGCCCTTAAAAAAACAAACCACCTTGCCCTATCAGTGTTTTATAATGGCATGAAGTCTAATTGAAAATTATTTTCTTCTGTAGTTTGATTCATATAGATTACTACTTTCAGTGAAAACAACACCAAAGCCATCTTGATCCTTAGATTTTGCCTATCAAAGTACAACCATGTGATATAAAAAACAAACTTTGCATTTTATTGCATGCTTTCCTTCAGTAGATTTACTTTGGATTTTAAAAGTTTTAATTTCTTCCCCGGACCCCCTTTTTAATTGTTAATATATACAATGTTGTGGCATGTCTCTTGTCTAGATCAGGTTTTACAGTATATGCTAGAGCTACAAATGGTGGAGTTTACCAGCACAGAAGCTCTTGAGCAGACTGTGGGATGTGTGCAGTAATGAGGTGTAACCGGTGTACCTTGCTGCATGAGAGCTCCAACTCCAAACCAGAAACTATTAAGTAAAGTAAAATTGTTTTCCACCACATCTGAGTCAGGGTTGCACGGGTGGGGGTTATACCACTCATACGGTGTAAACCTGTGGTAGTTAACAGAAACAGTTTGTAAACATCAGATTAAAAAAAAAATACAGACAGCACCAGCAAACCTGCTGAACAATGCACAAAATGCAAAGATTAATGAGGAAAACAAAAGAGAAGAAAATTAAGGCCATATTCATAAACGTACAGCCACAGCATAGAAGTTCCAAGGCAGCTTGGCAATGCAGCAGGCAGGTTTTAGAGCACCCGAGTCAGTCACATGCCTTAACTATAATTGTCCTTTGATTCTAATAAGCCCAGCACACTCTGCAAAGAGAAGGGAAACTGCTTCCAAATACTTGCTTTCCAGGTGACCCTTGAACTATAGTTTTGAAGACTCTTTGTGATGCAGAGAAGACTGTTGCTTCAGATGTGTTCTTGCCAAATGCACTCCAGTTTGCTCTCAGCTTTCTCCAGGCAGGCAGTGCAACCGCGTGCATGCCTACCCAGAAGTAAGCCTCAAGTTCAGTGGGACTTGATCCCAAGTAAGTGTTACAGGACTTCAGCCTGAACAGCTTGATTTCTGGAAAAGGAATTGATCCACATAAATGTTCGGATCATTTCCATCCAGTTCACTATTCAGATGTGTATATTTGTGGCGCCACAAATTAGGGTCAATTCACGCTTCATACTGCAGTTGTGAATACCAGGATTATGCTGACCACATGCACACATTGTGAAAGGGGTGAAATATTTCCAAACATTTGAGTACATGGCGTGGATTCATAATTGGACATGGCCCACCACACACACCCCTTTCGTGTTTACAGGTACTCTTCTCATCTTCTCATTATGCAGGAGCTTCACACATATATCCCAGCGGTGCCAGATGCAAGGCTCTTCCTAACTCTTGTACAGTGGTACCTCTGGTTACGTACTTAATTCGTTCCGGAGGTCCGTTCTTAACCTGTAAACTGTTCTTAACCTGAAGCACCACTTTAGCTAATGTGGCCTCCCGCTGCTGCTGCTGCGCCACTGCCGCGCGATTTCTGTTCTCATCCTGAAGCAAAGTTCTTAACCCGAGGTATTTTTTCTGGGTTAGCGGAGTCTGTAACCTGAAGCGTATGTAACCCGAGGTACCACTGTATCTATGTTTTGCATTCCTACGCAAAAAATGTATATATAAAAATTCTGTTTCTACTTGCTGATCTATGACATGTGTTTCTAGAAATGAAATGGCTAATAATAAAAATGGTTGATATTGTGAAGGAGTTCTTGTGCTCAAGTATTATATGGGTCAATGGAAGAAATTATAAATTACCCTTTTGCAAACGGATACCCGTCAGTTCTTGCAGAAAATGGACACTGTTCTTTTGTGATCTATACTTCACAAAATTATTTTAAGACTGTCCTAGCCACAGAATCCTGCCTGTTGCTGATTATCACAGCTGTAGGGCATACTTTTATTGTGATGTTTATGAATATGGCTTTAATTGACAATGTCATGCCAGTACATTTTAATTGCTGTTTTAACAATATAATTAAGCTTTGAATTTATGCACTCTTGCAACTAGAGTGCTGTGCTAGGCTTGAAGCAATGAACACTGATAATAATGAAGGCACTAATTGAAACAGTTTTTAGTTTAGGATGCTGTTAGTTAAATAACATCATCATTATTGGTACAATAGATAATTAAAAAAAACTGTAACACAAGATGCAGAATATAGCTTCAAGGAAAAAAATACATGCATTATATAAAGTCCCATTAAAAACCCCAAGTTCTCATATTTAAAGCACAAGAATAGCAGCATTGAGTCTAATTGAGCATCAGAGTTCTATCTGCCCTCAAGGCAAGAGTTACACCTGCTCATATGACAGTTTTAAATGAGCTGACCTACCTGCTGTCCCTTGCTATCCATTGCCTACTTATTGTTGGCTCCCCCACTGCATGCTTCTTATACTCAAAACGACAGCAATGGACAATACTAGCACAGTATGGAGGTCTCTCGAGAGCAAACGATTATGGCAGACAACAGGCACTGGGGGAAGGAGCTGGGGAAATAGTTAAGTCCAACTGAATTCGAAAACCTGGTCTAAATTGGTCTATAATCTGTGTCACCTCCTGCCCACACTATTGCTTAACCCTCTAGATAACCTTAGTATGATTTGCTCCCTTGTAGAAAAGCAGTTTATGTGCTCCATCTGGAATCTATGGAACAAAATATGGATGGATGGACGGACCTAAAACTTGTCCGTCAAATAGAAGTAAATCTGTATGCTGAATTACAGCCATGAAGGACTTCCACTGAGTACAGGAAGCTGGTTTCTTTTTTAAAAATTCTTTTTTTAAAAAAACCGCAGGGTTGTATTCAACTAACTCCTACTCAAAGCAGATCCATTGAAATTGATGAACTTAAGTTAGTCATGTCAATTAACTTCCGTGGGTCTTCTCTGAGTAGGACTATCATGAAATATAACCCATAATGCTGAGTAGGAGCAACTTCCTTCAGACCTTGAAGATAAAGATGCACTCCAATTATTATTATTATTATTATTATTATTATTATTATTATTATTATGTCTTTCTTCCAAGTTGGGATTCAAGGCAAATTATGTTATGTGGCATACTCTATTGCATTTCCTGTCAACTGCAGGGCTGTCCTACAGGAAGCAGAAGGCAGACCTACTGACATTGGGTAAACCTCATTGGCTTGGTTGCAGGTCAAGTTCACTTCGATTAGGAACTGACATTGATTCAGTTAGATTTACTGAATGCATGTTCCATCAACCATAGGAAAACATTCAACAAAATTGTTTCAGACTGATATATCCAGCAAAAAGTACAGTATATTTTTTGCGTCCTCGGTCACTATCACTGCTTCTAGCTTTTATTTCCTTTTTAAAAGTCATCAATCTGAGGTAGTATTAGCTGTTTTTAAGATGTGAGGAAATCACTGTTATATAGTTATGATAAATGTAAAAATAAATAAAAGACATAAATGCCCTTTAATTATTGAGAGCAACTGGCATTTGAAACCTAATCCAATTCACCTTCCTCTGTTCACCTCAGTGCAAGCCTGAGGCTCTTAACATATTGTGTAGGAGGCTGCTGTGAAAGAAATACATCAAATTGGATTAAATTCTAATTTGGCGGAAGTCAGTGGCTGCGGCTAGGCATAATAGTATGCATACATAACATCCTTTAGCAGCATTAACAATATGTTAAACCACCCACAAGGCTGCAGGACATCACATAACCTCCCCTCCTTTCTTTAGACTTCAAGACCCTCTTGCAGAATCGAATCTACCACTAGATGCCCCATTCTATAAATAGTGCAGGCATGATGTCTAAAATTTTCCAATTCTGACACAACCAATAGGCTCCCTAGGAAGAGAACCAATTATCACTCCACATATGTGCATTTATGTCCTATTAATACTGCATTCAGTATTAAAAAGCAAAGCATTTGTGCTAGGGTTGCATAAGCAATATAGCGATGTTTGCAATAATGCAAGTAAAGTGTGACTGTGTTGCTCAGATACTGGCTTCTTAAAATGGACAACAAGTTAGAATTACTGAAATACACTCCAAATATATTATGTTAAAATGATTTCTTTAACATAATGAAAACTTCAAGAAATACAGTCACCCAAAGTGGCACATTTCTTGGACTGAGAAAGGCCCACAGAATAATCCCAATATAATTTGCTTCTAAAAGCTTTATATTATTAGAAACAAATGACTTTTCCATTTATATTGCACTGCTGTAATAGCTTAGGCATTTCATGTGGAAAGTAGTTCACATCTGGAACACAAAAGATCAAGAAAATCTATGACAACGGATATCACCAATGAATGGCAAAAAGAATCATAGCTTTGGAAGATAAAAAACAATTTGGAAGTATAAGTAGAATGTTCTGGCATTTTTAAAAAAAATGTAATTTAAGTTCTGTTATCTTAGCTCCTTAGCCAACTTTTCTCCCAAAGTGAGCATGTGCTGATAATCATAGTATAATATATCCCAAAGTTATTTTTGTCTAAAATCATAGCTCACAGTTCTGAGAACACTTCTATGGATTCCATTTCTCTATGCAGGGCAGCAGCAGAGAACATAGTGGGGCTGTGCTGCTCATTTTACCTCCTTCCAGCTGAGTTGCTGCTGCGTACTGACCCAAAGAGGAGGAGGCAGCAGTAAGGTTGGCCTAGAGCAAATGCACAGGCCAGAGCACTGGATTGGCTCCGCTGGTGTGTTTGCACCATGCTGACCTTGCCTGCCTGCCTCCCTTCTTTTCCTCTCCCCCTGGTGTTCTGCAGCGACTCAGCCAGAGAGAGTTCAGGTGAGTGGTTCAACCCTGCTGCATGTTGTTCACTACTGGAGAGGTTGGTGAGGCCACACGCAAAGGGGTAATTGAGATATTTTTCAAAAAGCAGTTCATATATGAGTATAGCTAGCTACGTATTTGAAAGACAGCCTTCCATACAGACCCTCTTGGGTGTTAAGATCAGTGATGGGAGATATGTTGGAAGCTCCATCACCCTCAGAAGGTCAGGGTGATGGCAGTCGGCAAAAGGGATAACTCTGTGCAGCCCCTAATGTGTGGAATTGCCTCCCCATCAAGCTGCACTGGCACTTTCATCATATAGCTTTAATTATTTGTTGAATACATATCTCGTAACCCTAGCCTTTGACACCTGAAAAAGATGTTTTTAGGTTCTTTTGATTGTAAATTGTTTTAGCTGATTGTAATATTGTGTTAAGGCATTGCTGTAACCCACCTGGAGATCTTGTGGTGATGCGCTGAGAAAAAAATCTAATAATAGCAAGTACAACTTCTCAAGGGTGTTTTTGTGCATGTGTGCATATCTGTGAGCATATTATAAAAATGAGATATATTGAAAATAGAAGAAAATATAATTTTAAATGAAGAAAATTAATTATTCTCAGAAATAAGTTTGTAGAGGGCTTCCGGTCCCGCCTGCCTTAATGGAGGCAGCCCCCATGACAGCGGGGGATCATCGACGAGCGAAAAGGATGGCAGAGGGTAAATCATCCTTGGAAATTCTACGCAATTCGTTTTGGTACCTGGCTTTCGGTCTGGCATGGAATGTGGGAGGTAGAGAGGCGCTGAGTGCAAAAGCACTTTGCCTTGCAAAAACTCTCCTATGCCACCATTATGGGCAGAATAAAGATAATAGTTGGAGTTCCTCACTTGAGGCGTTATAAATTTATATATTATAAAATCCTGAATGGAAATCATTAATTATGTAGCTGTTGTCTTGAGGAATTAATTGTTATTGTTATAATTTGGCTATTATTGGGGGCATATAGGAAAACTGATTTTAAAAATTACAGAAAAAGAAATAAGCTTGCAGAGATCCCTGTGTGGTGTTTTTTGATTCTAGTTAGCAATTCATGGCCCCCTGACATGTTGTCTGGACACTTCGCTTGTCCGTTGAAAATTCTAAAATGTTAAAAGCATTTAACATCTGTAAAGCTTCTCCAAATAACTGGAGAAGCATCTAAACATTTTGTCCTGATATGAAAGGGAAGGAAGCACTAGAGATTCCACCTTTCTTTTCTGTTAGAACTTCTGCGTCCTAAAGAGCTCATGCCTGGCAGAAGCTTTCCTTATCATTTCATCTCCATGCTAGGAAAATACTGCTAAGTATCTGCTTCTCAGATAACTGTTGAGGACACAAACACTTTGCTAGAAGAGAAAGCTGGTAATAATAACAAAAAATGCTCATATCTAGCTATTACAACTAAGCGGATATGTCAACGTTTGGAGATTGGCATACATTCAGAGCATCTTGTGTTGACATTGCTGAATCAAGCCCAAGAGAGAGGAAGTTGCAGGTTACTTATTTTCACCCATCTTTTTCTTAGAGACTAGAGCTAGTTTCAGTCTTGGCTCATTACTCAGAAGACAAAAGAAATCTGTCAACGATGGTCAGATTGTTATTAGTCATGTATGAGCTCATGGTCCATGCAGAGTCAAATCTATTATTCATGGTACAGTGAGCAGAGTTTGCCAGAGTTTATGACTGTAAACAGTGGCTGCACTTGCAACAGCCTTGTTTAGGATTTGCATGGAAAACCAGACCATTAATTTCACACTCTGCTTTTCTCTCTGACACACGTACAACTAAGTTGAATATGGTTTTTGGATATTTTGCTCTAACTGTTCATTTTAAAGTATGAAACAACCCTAAAAAGTACAGTTTGATAGCAGATCTACTTTGAAAATCACTTTGGTTGAACCAAATTGATTTATTCACAGTACTATGATGTAACCTAGGAGTTTCCAAACTTTTTACTTTGTAAAGAACTTCTCTGCATCAGTATGCCAGCTACAGAATCCCCACATACTGTGGAAGAGTCTGGGAAATGTTCTAGAGAGCACAAACAGTTCAGGTGGCACCTGGAATTGCTGCAAATGTATCACAAGTGGTCTTCGAAGCAAACCAACACTCTGCTTGTGACAGTGTGCCTCAGCAAGACAATGTTTAGTTATGTGCAAGCTCATGGAGGGGGGGCAGCAGCCAGGTACACTTACCCTGGGCCTTGGAGGACTAAGCTAGTCAGGGAGTCCTGTTTGGTCTGCTGAAGTTACGCTGTCATGCCAAGAACAAGATTCCCGCCCTGGGCCTCATACAAACTCTGCACGGACCCGATGATGTCCATTCATTATTGATCTTGGGCTGTGCTGCACAACCATAAAGTCTCTCTTCTGGTGGTCAGGGGACACCCCCTCCCAAGAAAGGCCTGGGATGTGTGGGGGGGAGGGAAGGGAATTGTTCAAAATCAGGGGAGGTAGGTTGTACAAACTTCATCACATTATCCAGGCCGAAGATGCCTTGACCTTCAGTAAAGGCTTTGTAGAAGACACAGAGGGTTGAATCAGGAAGTGGGAGGGAAGACCACTGAAAATATCTAATAAAAAATCCAAAGCACCTCATGTTTCCATCAGTTATAGTTTGGAAAGCACTTGTTAAATGCTTTGCAGAGAAAGACTACAGTACACAGTAACTCCAGCTGTAAATCTAGTTGCCAGTCCCTCCCCAAGTGCATGTGACACGTTGCGTATCCTAGCCATAGTCAAGTCAAGAGACATTGTGAAGCCCTTCTATTCTCAACTGCACCATCATAAGTAACCTGATGTATAGTGTTAACATCCGTGAGACCGAGATGGGGGTCTTGTTGTCTGGGTAGCCCACAACCTCCATACACACTGCATAGAGGGATGCCAACAACTGCTAATATAGTAGTGTGTTGACAACGTTACCGCATTGCAGAAATATTTGCACCAAAGGGACATTTTGCAGTTTAGTATGGAGTAGAAAGGTACATCCCCCTGTCGTCGTCCCCATCCCGTCCCCCACATATTCTCGTTTTGTTCTTGTTAACTCTGGCTATTTTTACCCAGCGATGCCATGTAAAGGAGCTTTAAGTATTCATTTAAAAAGATGGTATTGTTTTTTTCTTAATATGCTAATAGTAACCCTTAGGTTACAGGGTGGCACTGTGGGTTAAACCACAGAGCCTAGGACTTGCTGATCGGAAGGCCAGCGGTTTGAATCCCTGTGATGGGGTGAGCTCCCATTGCTCGGTCCCTGCTCCTGCCAACCTAGCAGTTTGAAAGCATGCAGTGCAAGTAGATAAGTAGGTACCACTCCGGCGGGAAGGTAAATGGTGTTTCCGTGCGCTGCTCTGGTTCGCCAGAAGCGGATTAGTCATGCTGGCCACATGACCTGGAAGCTGTACGCCGGCTCCCTCAGCCAGTAAAGGGAGATGAGCGCTGCAATCCCAGAGTTGTCCACGACTGGACCTAACGGTCAGGGGTCCCTTTACCCTTTACCTTTAACCCTTTCTTAATATGCCAATTGACTGTAGAAACCCCATCTGCTCTACAAATTCTTCTGTTTCCTGTTTCTACAATAATAAAGGTCTGGAGTTCACAATATTATGTATAGAATAGTGCACAGAATATCATGTGATTATTATTTTGGAGACAAGAATAATGTATGTGGTCAGTGTACAATGTATAGAAAAAGAGTTATTAATGTGGCTTAGTGTTAGACATGACCTTTCAACTTACCTTGCAATGACAAAGAGCACACAACTGACTCCAAGGCAAGCTAGGAGGACATACATCCAAATATCAGGAGAAAGAGGGTTTAGAAAGGAGAAAACACCAGGGTTTGTGCCATTGGGCTTCCGGTACAAAATACTGATTCCCAGCGTCATGAAGGGCTTGGAAAAGTCAATGACTTTCTCTCTTACGTAGGTAATGGTGAGAGGAGCAACTGCCAGGTCAGCTTTCTGAGGACAAAAATTGGAAAATAATATTGTCATTTAAAAAAAATAAATTACCCACATTTTTTATTTCTTCACTTTCCTCAAGCGTACTGACACAAATAAGATTCATTTGCTCATAACTGTAAGCACTGATAAAATTTAAATGAAAAATAACTTTCTCATTGAAGCTCAATGGGGAGGAAATATAGCATCATTCAAACGATGTTAATTTCATAGTAATAATTCAGAATGTGTGGTGCAGTGGTGATGCCTTGAAGAAGCATTAAAGCAGTTACAGCCTTTTTCCATAGGCCTTCCAGACTGACACTTTCACAGCAAAACTTTCATGTGGGAAATACAAATGTACCACTGCAGATAATCTTGGCATCATGTGGTTGTGGCTACAATAGGCCCACCCATGCTTCCAAGAGAAATGGTGCACATATTAGACGTCTCCATGTCTATATCATAATAGCTAGACTATGCATTGTGCTCACCACATGAGAAATGGGCTGACTCTGCTCGTTAAGAACTTCGAAGACTCCCTGCTACTAAAGAAAGCTGCTGGGGATTATACCCTAGACTCTAGGGCCTAGAGGACCAAAGTGGCAAGATAAACAGATACAGTGGACCAATCAATGTATGGAGAAAAAGTAGTCCTAAGTTTTCACTTCCTTGTGATCTATCCAGCTTTCTTTGGCTGTTGACACGGAGCCTTCAAAGTTCTTATAAGATGCAGCTTAACTGCTTACCACATGCTGAAGAAAATTTGGCTCTTGTAGGAAAAAATTGTTTTTATGCAGAAACTGATAACCATACTCTTTCCTGAGTATATGTATATACAGTATACACTTTCCCATTCTAATTCTTCTTGCATCTCAAATGGTTATTCTGTCTATTATTATTATTTTTAAAAAGGCTGAGTGGCCTGCTAGTTTAAATACATGTATCCAGCTATTGCTGGTTGACAAGCATGAAGAAGATGGTTCCATCTTACGTGATCGATGAGTTCTTTTACCATCCCATTCCATTCTCCTTTGTCATTCTGGGCTCCATATTTCCCATCAGACACTAGTTTCACTTCATAGATGAAGCCTAAAATATTTGATAACTCCTTCAACAAATCCAAGCAGTACCCTTCAAATCTGTCGTTGCCATAAAGGGGTTTGTCAGATTTCTTGTACATGACATACGGATCTTCCTGCATGAAAAGACACAAGGCATGTCTCAGAAATTATTCTTCTTAAGTACATCTGTGATTGATAAAATACAGGAAATGTTTAATTGCTTGATAAAATTGTACATGGGCTACTTAAGAATAATAAATACTATATAAAGAATAACACAGTAGCATAAAACTATGGCAGAGCCAAAAGTCTGGTATACAATTTTAGTGAACAAACTGAAATGCTTCCCAAAGATCCCTGAAAAGTTCATATTTATTTATTTGTTTGTTTGTTTATAGCAGTTATTAGCTGCTCCTCACCTTCTGTAGCAGATTTATGGGGTGTGCAGGGAGAGGGTAGGATGGGAAAGTTCCCCTTCTAAAGCTTCTTGAGGCTGAAAACACCCACCCCTTTCATGAATGAACAAAAATGTGTAGTGATTAAGTAAGTGGTTAGTAAGGCAACGTGAATTAACCAAAGATAATACACACAGTGTAGCAACAACGCATGCCAAAACTTACCAAAATAGTGGTGACTATGAGCGTTCGGTTCGCCAGCGAATCAGTGATATTGGTAGATCTGTCTTTATTGCTGTCAGTCATATTAAGGCCACTGTTTGAGTTCCAAAGCCCAATCTACATAGAACAAATTAGATAAATGGCTGCCAACCTTCATTAATTGTGTTAAGGAAAGGATAGTTCATATAAAAAAATGCAATTGACAGTTCTGCCCAGGAATATATATATTTTTAGGCAATACTGTACTTTACAGCAATTGAGCAACAAACAAGTTGTATAGGATATTAAAGGAGCAGACCAGCTGCATTTTAAAGTAACGGATCTATAATAAATGATGGATTATGAGTACTGTTAGTCGAGGGAAACACATTGCTCATTAAAAAGCATGCTGAGATGGCCTAGTCACAAGACTGTTACATTAGTTATGTATAAAAATATTAAAAATATATAGTTTTGTTTAAGCAAACCAGCCTGCATTGTGGAACACCTAGATTTCTCTTCTAAATGTCTAGTTCATGGTGGTTGTTTTTGTAAAGGTGAAGTGGAAACGTAAGAAAACCTTTCCTTTCTAATCCATCAGTTTATAGAATATGCTGAAATAGGCTGCTATATTCACTGGCCCTTCTCTTCTGTTGAAACCTGCTGAAGGTACAGATTTATTTTAGTTACTTTGTGACTATTGTATATGACAGAACCAATAAAATGACCCACTGATCAGTGATAGCTCAGAAAATTAAAACAAAAGAGGCAGGGAAATCTGGCCTTGGCCTTTTTTCCAAACCCAAGAGCATTTTGTAACAAGATGACTTTTAGGTGCTTTAGGCCAGTGTTTCCCAACCGGTGTTCCGCGGCACACTAGTGTGCCGCGAGATGTTGCCTGGTGTGCCGCGAGCGAGTCCAAAAAAGGTTGGGAAACACTGGTTTCTCTTTCAAAAAGGAAACGTGGGTTAAAGCGGCGATGCCGCCTCCCACTCACTTTCCTGCTCTGGCTTCCCTAACAGTTTTCCGAGTTGCGTCACTGGATCCAGCCCCCTTTTCCACATGTGACACGGGGCTGGAGGGAGGGAAAGAGGGCTTTACGTCGCGCACAAAGGCAGCCTCCTAGAAGCGCTCTGGGCCGGCGCCGTTTCGCCGAAGGCGCCGGAGGACCCCCACCCTCAGCTCCTTCAGAAAGGAAGCCCCGCCCCTCGGCTCCCTACGCCACCAGGCAGCTCAGCTGACTGACGAGGACGTTCTGCGGCGGCGGCCGCTGCACAACCACCGCAGTTGCTGGCAGCGTCCGCAGCGCAATAAGTAACAGCGCCTGGTGCTGCCAACTCTTTCTCTCTCTCTCCCGCCCCGCCCCCAAGCTCTCGCGCGCCCCGCGTCAACATCGCCGCGCGCAGCTTCCCGAGCTCAAGGCCAGCCGCTGCACGCACGCGCCGGCTCGTCATTGGCTCCGGTTGTTGCCTTTCTCCGCCGAGGTCGGTGGACCCCGAGCCTAGGCTTCCTTCCCGTACCCCGCTTTCCGAATAGGTATTCAGGAGGCAGATTTCTTATTTCAGTGGAATTTGAAATCCCATCTAGTGGCATGCATGTAAACTGCAAAGCAAACAATAACATACTTGTAAAATCAACTGTGCATGAATTCAATTTTTCAGCCCCTTAGGCTTTAATGGAATTGCAGGGGAAGAAAAATAGCTATCAATGACCAGTGTGAAACAACCAAGAATAGGGCCAAAGCAGATGTGTTGATTGCGCAAATCCACATGTTTGTGGATTTGTGGGGGGTGGGGGTGGGACTGCAGGTCAGAGAGAAGTATGGTAGTTTAATCCTTCTCCTCCACTATCTACATCATTGGTGCTAAGACTTCCCTGTCAATGCAAAAAGCTCACATAGTCCCAAAGGATGCTTTGATCCCTTGTACCTGTCATCTGCATTACAAAAAAATGGGCATATTAATTGTATTCCTGCAACTGGCATTTACTTGAATGGAGAGGGTGTTTCTGCTTCTACGTTGAAACTGTGAAGCACCCTTGTTATTTTTGCTAATAGATGCTGCATTTTTTTAAAGTAATCTTGTTATATTGTGCGTATAATATTGACATGTGGTTTTGTTATTATTTTTGTTTTGCTGTGTTTTTGTGGAATTGTTTTTGTAGAGTTCGTTTGAAATGCATCCCTATTTCTTTATTGTAAGCCGCTTTGAGCATGAGATGTGTGGAAAAGCGGCATACAAATAAAATAAATGAAAGGAAGAAAGAAAGAGAGAAAGAAAGAAAGAAAGTGAAATACACCAGCTAGGTAGCATTTATATTAGTACATAGTTAATACATATCTGGATTTCTTGATGCTTCATCCAGTGAAATTTGGACAGATTGCTTTCTAAGACCACTTGATAATATTGTATACCAAGACTGCCAGATAAGATGGTGTCTGTCTGAATCTGTGTCTTGCTGATCTTATATATACCATTGGTCACCATTAGAACTTCTACAATGACCACTATTTTAGTGGTGTCACCAGTAAAACCACATTTGGGGCATCTGTGACTTGTATCAGGGTCTAAAAGTTTAGATCTTCAGATCCAGCCCAATGAATGATTCACACCCACACAACTCAAATAGCAGCAGAAATACACAAGCTCTACTAGTGATCTATCAGATTCTGTCAATTTCCTGCCAGATTTCAGTCCTGATCCATCAGATCTGTTCCATTTTGCCAATGATCTGTCAGTGTTCTATTATGCTTTTCTCATGACCCAGTAGATTTAATTCAGCCTGGATGGGCACTATTTTTGAAATCAGAAATTGGCAAGACACCATTATCTGTCAGTTGTCAATATTGACTTTGGCGAGATAATTTCAAATTAGGGCCTCTCTGAATTTAAGATCCATCAGCATCTTTGGGTTGATTCTTCAGCGATGTTTAGTGGAATGTGTGAACTACCTCTCTGAAAAGTATTGTACTTGAGGTAATAAGTACAATACTTAATTGTTATTTGAGCTGTTATAGATATTTCAGGTATGCAAGGCATTATAGGAAAGTGCTGTACTATAGATGAAATAATAAAAAATCAGGTCTTCAGTAGGTGAAAACCTGCAGGCTATCCTTAGCTTTCTTAGGAAATTACTTTGTTTTTACTGCCTCAGCCTGCTGATACCTCATTCCTGCTTTAATTTTCATGATTAAAGCTATATTCTTTGAAGTATTGTGCTCAAAAATAATGGCCATTTTTGGGATGTTTGTTTGTTTGTTTCAGTATTCTGGGGCTGATTGTCAGCATCAACATGAAACAAACTACAGTATCTAATCCTGTTCTTTGCTTCTGTTTGTTTGGAATAGCACTGCTATATTTTTATTTTCTCACTATAAGCTTTCTTTCATTCACTTTCAGAGGGAATCAATTCAGTGGTATTGATTCTAAAATAAATGAAATACTTGTATAATAATGTAGCTTTGCCGGGAGTGAGGGGAAGATACACTATTCATAGATTCAGATTTTTTTCTTTGCAGTCTTTGCAATAAAGTCATAACTGTAAGGAACTACTGTGTATTAAGTCAGACCAATGAGCCATGTTGTCCGATGCTGTCTATCACTCTGCAGCAATTCTCAAATCTCAGGCAAAGCTTTTTCCCAGCCCTGCAACCTGATAGGTTGTGGCTGAAGATAGCAGAGGTTGAACTACAGGTTATACATGTAAAATGTGTGTGCTACCACAAACCAATGTCCTGTAGGTTTCCTGCTGTAATTACACTGAGTGTGGAATTGTTGACAATGGGAAATTGTAACACATTCATACCAATGAATAATTAAAAAATGGAACAATACAGTCACAAAACTTACAGAATGCAATATATACACTGTACATTAGCATCAAAGGAATGAGAGTGGAGGCCAACCTTACAGTTACGGGAAAGGTCAGGAGGGCATTGAAGGAACGAGACCAAAGTACCACAGCACTAGGGTGAATTCAGGAGATTTATTGCAGTTTAGTGACAAGTTCAAAGCATAAAATATGACACATAGTGTCCAGTGCATTTTTTTAATTCATTAGAATTTGGACTAAATTAATTCAGCATAATAACTTGAACTACCAACAATGAAAAGAGGGGGTGAAAGCCCACATATGTCAGATCATGACACATTAGTTGATGAGAAAAATTGGTTTTAAAAAAATCTTTGACTAGTTTACTGCTTATTAAAACATGTTTAATAATTAGGCATTTTATTAGGTTATAATGAGATTGATGAGAAGCTGTAGCTAATAATACTGTGCCTGGAGTTTAGATAGATAGATAGATAGATAGATAGATAGATAGATAGATAGATAGATATAATTATTGTTGCAAGATATATAACCATTATCCTAGGTTTAAACAAGTGGGCTGCAATGAGAGCTTCTTGCTTTGTGATAGGAAAATACTTAGGTTGTTCTCATGCATACACTATTTCTCTTTTAATTGGAGAAGCTCCTTAAAGGGCAAGGCTAAGTGCATGCAAACAGTGCCGCTTAATTGTGGCATTTACATGGAAGTAAGCTTTCTCAAAATAAATGGAAAGTACTTCTATATCATATGTTTTGGACTAGGGCGTAACATAGATAGTGTTTAAAACTTGGTCCTAGTTTTGTACACTTTGCTGATACAATGGAAAGGTAATCAGCATTTCAGACTCCCATAATCTGATCTCACTATTCAGTAGAAAAGGACTGTATTATTGTAAAGGAATTCTTAAAACAGGCTTCCTCAACCTCAGCCCTCCAGATGTTTTATTTTTCCAGTATCACTGCAAAATATTAAAGCTGCAATGCAGCTGCCTTGTTACTCGTGTATAAATCCCACAGGGTCTTGAAATGAGCATTGCTAATAGCAGGATTGCACCCTAAAGTGAAAGCTGTTACATATAATACTGACTCCTCAGCGGATTGTGGCCAAAACTCACTGTGACTTCAGCACTCTACAACTGGATAGATAAAATGTAGTGGTTAATCAAAAATCTATACTACATAGCATAGTTTATTCTAAGACTGACTTTTATTGTCTCTAAACTGCAATTGGAGACCATTTGTCAAAACCCTAAGGAAGAGTTTTTTTCAGACTCAACCTGTAGGTTTCTTACATCATCTGTCTATATACAAACCTTCTTCCATACTTTATATAAATTATTAGTAGCTTCACCAGCAGGCTTAATTTAGAAAAGAACAGAAAGGGACACAAAACAGTTCTTCAGTCAAAATATAAAGCAAATCTGTATGTTTTACATAGTCTTAGCATTTTAATTTCAATCTTATCATAGCATGTACACTTACAGAACCACTTACTGTAGGATTGAGACATTATTGTGTTTAGTAATTGGTAGTACTGACCTTTCATTTAACTAAATTAGAAAATTTACTCATGTTAGAATGAATTCAGTGCCTCATCTCTTCTCTCTACAGCCCCCCTGATTAAATAAATAAATAAATAAATCTAATGCATATTTTGCTTGTGGATAACAGTGTGGATTTCCCACACTGAGTCCCAGCATCTCCCCCTGCCCCGTCCAAAAACAGACCAGTTCCATATTATATAAAGAGGCTTGTTAATCCATAATTTAGTCAGTAGTAGATCAGTTTGAATGGGGGTCACACAACACATAGATTTAATAGCTTTGCAGCTGCTTTTGTAAAGCGGAATCAAGTTTTCTGGATTGGAGTAGTTTTACGTTGCTCTTCTAGTGAAAAAAACCCCACGGCTTCTCAAGGCATGTTATTAAGAAAGGCAGGCTATTTATGTTTCATCTTGTGTAACAAATAGAGGGTTTAGATAGCTCTATTGTTTATGGGCTTCTCAAGGCTGTCTTGATAAAATATGACTGTGCCTGACCTTTTTGCTTGTGTGTGATGTCTAAATCAAAAGCTGACTGAAAGCAGTATGAACAGAATATATATGACATGATCTTTGCTTATGTAGATATAGCCCCTGCAGGTGAAAGAATCCCATAGGGCTTAACAGAGCCCTGTTTTCATCCCTTCCTCCCCTCAATGCGGGCAGAAAGGCATGCCAACATGTCAGGGCGCTCTGGGAAATGGGATTTTTGTGTGTTCTCGCCTATCACCACTGCAGCTATTTCCTTCTGTTCAATTATAAAAATGCCAGAGATAACGTGTTTGTGTGTACCTCTGTGCACATACTGGAGTGGGGGGCAGGGCTCTTCATGCAGGTAATTGAGCCCCCAAGGGGAAATATCATATCCATAGTTATCAAAGAATGCAGTGTTCACAAGGCAGGTGGACAGACATGGGCAATTAAGAATGGGGTAGAAAATGTGCTACTCTATTAATAAACATGAAGTGGCTTTGCTGCGGCAATGCCTTTGGCCAACATACACTTGCCTGTGAGTAATTCCCTCTGTGTAAGAAAGGCACATGTGTACAGCTGTTTGTGGCTATGGTGAGAAAAGGACAGTCATCTGACTGTAGGCGTTATCAGACATAGTTTGCTTGCATCAGATGCTGTCTTCTGCATGCAGAGAAATAGAGCTCTTCCTACTCTCAGAAGAGCATGAGACTCTTAATATGGTTTATGACATTCCTGCTTTGCAGGTGGTTGGACTAGATGACCCTTGGGGTCTTCCAACTTTCCAGTTCTGTGATTCTGTACTCAGAGGTCCATACATTTTCTCTGGCCTTGACAGGTGCGGTCTTGCCTCTCATCTCGTACAGCACCTCCGGAACTCAGCACAAGGCCAAGGACAATTCCCTGCTCCCATCCCCAGCTCTAAGCATTGTAGATCCTTGCCCTATCTTCACAACATTTCCCCACATTGTGGAATCCCACAGCTGCCTTTGCATACAGAAAGTGTATCACTAGAACTGTCAACTGTGCAGCAGGACACTTGTGCATGTGGATCTGCAGTGTGTGGAGGAGATGACTAGGTTGAGGCAATGGTCATTGCTTCACTTATACTGAAAAAGACAAAACATAGCTAAAACAGGGCGGAGGGTTACTTTAAATAGAAGTACTACCATTCTTTACCAAATATGTATACTATAATCCTCGATCCATTTATTTTCGAGAAATTGCATTAGAACAGTAGGACTGGTAAGCAGTAAACTGTATACAAGCTGGTTTTCAGCGTCTGTGCATGTATGAAGATCCAAGAGTGTGTGTATATTTTCCCAAAGTGTGTATATTTCCCAATTCACTTATTTCAGTAGGAATACGAATCAGTTTTTTCTTTGTTAAGATTAGAGTTTAGGGTTGGTGCTATGAATGTTACTTTGTATAGCTGAAAAAATATTTCGGATATAAAATGATGACATTAGACATAATTCAAAGACAATTGGATGTGGAGAGTAGAAACAGGGACCCTTGTCTATCAGTGTGCATGTGCATTAGTGGAAGTGGAATTAATGCAGCCCTGTAAAATAAGCTGCTATGCTGCCAATCAGCTGTTTGGTAGGGAGAACAGAATGGGGGATAAACTGTTTATCACCACATTTGCAGCATACTCTGTAGGGCTTTATGCATTGCACTTTACTACTAAATTTGGTTGGAGAACTGCCTGTGCAACACACAGTTCCTTGTGCTAATTGCACAGGTAGGTGGCTTCTAATTAGGTTAGGGTATTATATCTAGGTTGTTACTTGGAAATTATTACGAGCTACAAGAGGTAAATAAAAACTGAACTACCAGCTTTTGAACTACCCACTTTTATTTGCTTCTATTAAGTGTGTAGGCTTCAGGATAATGCTGTCAATTGGCACACCACAAGGATTTCTGGTTGAACAAACTTCATTGAAATGATTGAGAGATACATACAAGAAGAAAAATGCTCATACTTTATATTAATTTCAGTGAGATTTGTACAGCAAGGTGCCCAATATTCATTGTTCCTTCTGCCTTTGAATATATAAAAATCTTGCTGTCTGCACCGTCTGGCTCACAGCATGCACACAGTGGTACCAAACTGGTTACCTTTTCTGTTCCTTCCTCCTTGAGGCTAATAATATCCAAATCGAAATCCTTTCTTAAGCCATCTGTTTTGTTGAAAGTAATTCGCCCTGTCAAACCATCCCAACGAGCCTAGAGAAATAAAGAGAGAGATACAATGTGTAACCTCAACTTTTCAAGCCCATGAAAAATAATTGTGCATAATCTCTCTTTCTTAATAGAATTCCTTTCAGTAACACTCCAAACAAAACAATCTTCTTTTATTGATTTTCTGATTTTATTCAACTCAATGCATTATCAATAGTTATATGATAAGGACAGAAAACAACATGTGCATGGAACTTGTGGAACATCCCCAAGGTACATTATCCATCAACAACATTCAAACTAAAAATAATTCATGGGGTTGCAGAGTTTGGAGCTGTCATATGTCCTAGTCTCAGGCCAATCTTTGCACTGTTGGAATTACAAAATAAACAGAGATGCCATTCTGATAGGCATTAACCCAATTTATTACACAAAGAAACCCTATCAGTCGGCATCTACAAACCACTTTTCTGCTTTCAGGGAATAAGCAAGAATGACTAAATTTAGTGGAAACACTGTGCTAAAGAATCTGTTTTTCACTGTGACCCCTGGCTCTATTCCAGAGGACACACTGTATGTCTCGTAGAGCTGGCCCAGATCCAACACATTTTAACCAAAATACAAGGGAGTAAGTGTGCGCAACTGGGGTAGTTTACTGAAAACAGCAGTGTGTCCATGTAAGGAACTAAAGAGAGCAAGGAAATGAAATCAGAACTTTTGCAAAAAAAAATGTTGAGGATTGAGTGGTTAACTAATGGAGGCAGATACTTGGGCTGAGCTCTGGCATTAATATAGTCCTTGGTGGGAGCACATAATGGAGAATTTGCCTATGAAGGGGTGGACAAAGGGAAGAGAATTGTGAAAATCAAATGCATTGTTGTGAGAAGTTGTAGAAAGGTGGAGGAGGGAAAGACAGGAATGGAGTTTTGTGGGTGATTTACTTTGTTTATTTAAAAAAATTATGCCTCAATTTTCCACCCAAATTTGCTTTTAAGGTGATTTACAAAGTCCAGAAGAAAACCATGCACGCACACAAAACAATTACAAAATCAATTGACAAATTAGATAGCACTTAAAGCAATTAAAAACAATCCAATACTGATTAACCAAAAGAGTCAAAGAAAGAGAAACATTAAGACCTAAGATATAAACCAGCCAAACCAACAGAAACAAGAAGAGCAGTAAAAATCACTTTTAACTGTCAAACCTCAGGTAAACAAGATGGATTTCTCCTAGTGCCTAAAAGAAGATGCTAGGTGAATATACCGTATTTTTCGCCCTATAGGACGCACTTTCCCCCCTCCAAAAATGAAGGGGAAATCTGGGTGCGTCCTATGGGGCGAATGCAGGCTTTCGCTGAAGCTTGGAGAGCGAGAGGGGTCAGTGCGCACCGACCCCTCTCACTCTCCAGGCTTCAGGAAGACATCCGCAGCCTAGGCAGCCCTGCGGGAGTTCCCGCAGGGCTGTCCAGGCTGCGGATAGCAGCCTGCCTCCCGGAGCGCCAGGTGCGCTGAAAGCAGAGCGCCCGGTGCTTCGGGAACACATCCGCAGCCTAGGCAGCCCTGCGGGAGTTCCCCACGCTGCGGATAGCAGCCTGCCGCCCGGCGGGCAGGGCGCCCTGAAGCAGAGCGCCCCTCGCGCCGGGCAGACATCCGCAGCGTGGGGAGCCCTGCAGGAGTTCCCCGCAGGCTCCCCACGCTGCGGATAGCAGCCTGCCACCCAGTGGGCGGGGTGCGCTGGGCAGACATCGGCCAGCCCCACAAGCTCGGGGGACAGCAGGGAGGCGCAGCGCCGCCATCCCGCTGCTCCTCAACCTGGTTCGGTTTCCCCGACCTGGTTTTGGGGGGGAAATAAAGGAAAAAATATTTTTCTTTATTTCCCCCCCAAAAAACTAGGTGCGTCCTATGGGACGGGGCGTCCTATGGGACGAAAAATACGGTAACTCAGGAGAGTTCCATTATATGGTGCAACCACAAAAAACATGGTTGTGTGTTCTCTTGTTACATAGCACACTAACAAATGTGGTAGCATGAAACATACTTAACAGTTCCTTTCTTTTACTGGGAGTAATGAAATGATTAATTTGGTAGTTGGACATAAAGGCTACAACCAACATTTTTGGTTCTTGTTGTTCCCACACAAACATATACCTCTTTTAGCCTCATCTGCCATTAATAACTGCATCACTGTTGAGAGTTAACTAATATATGTGACAGCCTGAGTCAAAGGTAAGCCTTAAGATGCTGTTAATAAAAAGCTGGCAGAGGTGGACTTGTATGCAGGCTCCAGACCTACCACTGGGCAGACTAAGGAGACTGCTTCAGGCACCTGATTTGAGACTTTATAAAAGGACAAGAAATGGCTAGCTACTTACATTATTATAGTTGTATTTTTATTGCCAAGAAGGGGAAGAAAGGTGTTTGTGCCTCAATGTCAAAATAAATTAATTGACCAGGCACTGGCTACAGCCAGGTCTCTCTCTCTCTCTCTCTCTCTCTCTCTCTCTCTCTCTCTCTCTCTCTCTGTGTGTGTGTGTGTGTGTTTGTGAGATTGTGTGTGTGTATGAGAGAGAGAGAGAGAGAGAGAGAGAGAGAGTGCTTTGCTGTTCCATCTGAGGCAACAAACTGCTGCAGTTTCTTTCATACGGCTTTCTTTTTAAAAACTCTGAAAGGTTTCTAATGCAAGAAATATTTTATATATGATTTATTTTTTTATTTATTGCCCACTCTTTACCTTAAAGTCCCAGGGTGGGTTGCAACAATAAAATATGCAATTATGTAACCATTACAACCACAAACCCACAAAAGTGTAAAAACAATTTAAAACAGTTCAATATATTAAATAAATAAGCAACAACACTTCCATGTTTAAAAACAATGTAATCATTTTAAAACAATTCCATATTTAAAAACAGTTCCAGTACAGGTGCAGTCTTCTCTTCCAATGTTTCCTGTGTATACAAACTGGCCTTTGGCTAGTTCCTAGTGACTTCCATTGTAACACTAGAAGAAAATAGATTTTCAAGTGTAGACGATCTTTACTTTCCTCATTTAGCTTGCTCCTTCATGCCAGGAAGGCTCACAATATACTATAATAGAGCAAACTCATCAGTGTCTGCTTTACAATTCTAATTACAGGTTCTCTCAGCTATATATTTATTCCTATTCTGCATTAAACACACTGTAGATAGCTATCTACTATGAACATGGATGGTGTACACAAAACTGACAGAAGTATGATTAAGTTTCCATCTTTTTTTATTTGTAGAACTGAATCTACTGAAATGAATATTATCATGTGCACAGCAATATCATAATCTCATGGCACCTAAATCCTTTATGTAGCATTTGCAGAGTTTTTTTTAGTGTTATGGATAGTAGGGTGGGATTTTTAAGAGGTCTGTGGTGATTTAAGGTTCACAGAATAGGCTCTTCAAGAGTGTAAATGGTAGTTATCGTAGGAGCTCTCACTGAAAAGTCATTCTCCCGATCGTTTTGCCAGAGAATTATCAATTTTCAGTTGACAGACCCTTTGTCACCTCTGTCTCAGAAAATATTCTCACATTTCCTATTGACTTGCTGGTGGGCCTGCTCTTCTCATTAACTGACACCCTCCATAAGCAATAAGTTGTCCACTTTTGTAGTTACAGATGCTGTAATCCAATCTATAAAATTGCTCAAAAGTAATTGGGTTAAGCATTAGATCCCAGCTTATTTGACCAGAAGTCCCAGCAACATCTTACTTTGAACTAATTTCAAAGTGTGAATGTGTCATCAATGAACATTTGATGGCCAGTGTTTAACTGCCTTTAGAGTAAAAGCTAGATTAGGAAAAATCCCCTAACAGGGCTCCTTCACAGGGCTTATTCTCCAGCAAAAGGTTGGGGCGGGCAAGCAGCTTCCTTCTCCTAGGAGAAATCACTGACTCCCCTTCTCCTGCTGCATACCGTACTTGTTGGTGTCCTGCCATTCACTAGAGTATGTGACTCGTTCAGTTAGTGATGGTGCTTGGAGAGACATCCTTGGTATCTATCCAAGAATACTGGAACTTCCACTTGTTCCTGACACTTTCTTCAGGGAACATTTCCTATATTCCTATTTTAACCAAATTTTAAGACCAGTTGGCAGAGTTCTGGGGATTTAACATCTGTTGTCTTTGCAGTTTAATTTGATTTTAGTTGATTGATTTGTTATTACTAATCCTGAATGTTCCATATAGAGCAACATACACATTCCAATGAAATAAAAGGAGCTCAAAATAAAAACACATATTGAATTTTATTTTCAAAATCCTTTAAAATAGCATGAGCACCATGCTGCCTTCAGATATCCTCCTTGATGTTAACCAAGGCCCCTTGCCCCTCCCATTTTTTAAAAAAGAAAAATTGAATATTTTTGGAGAGTTGGTTGATTGGTTGGGGCTGTTTTGTGGAAAAGATGCCTTCTTTTCTATGTGTTTTGGGCTTGGGGGAGAAGTGCAGACATTTTTCCTGTTGTTGTTTGTTTCAAGTGGGAGGTTCCAAGTTCCACCACTTTTTCTATTTTGTGGTTTCCGTGACAGCTTCTTAGATTTCCAGATGTGCCCCTAGGCTCCAAAAGTTTAGGGACCTCTGCTTTAATTAATAATCCTAGCTGCTGTTGCAGAATAAGTTCCACATCCTGAACTAAATGACCTTGGGTCTAGTAATTATGTAACTGTACTAGACCAACTGTGGCCCTTCTGTTCAAAAAAGCAGCCTGTGAGTTTTCAAGTAGTTCTTGGTTAAGTGAAAGTTTTGACAATCTGTGGTAAAATATGTGAGGCACTTAGCAACTGAGAAGATGCCAGCAACTAATCTGGACAAGACTGAAGCACTTGCAAAGTATTGTAAAGTTCTTAGGTACTAGTTACCTTCCCCAGGGTTCTCTAATTATTATAGAACGGATTGTGAAAATATGTTTCTCAATGGTGTAACTTCTTAGTTGTTGACCAGCAATCCAGTGAGACTGCCTGGCCCACAATATTAATATTGTGCCAGAGAGCTGGGATGCGTGTTATGCTTGCCC